TTGCTGGTTTAAGTTCTTTCTGCCACTATGTTCCTTCCAATCTGTTCCGTTCAGTAATCATTGACTTAAAATGTCGCAGATTTCAGGACGTGAACACAAGGTGGCGATGCAGCCTCATGACTGGTTTCCCGTTGCTCTATCGAACGATCCGTGACAGTCTGGAGAACAAAGAGAAAGTTTGTATGGACTCGGATGGAGAAAAAGCCATTTAGACCATCCAGCTTTGCCTCTTGCCTCCTGTCTTGGTCTGGAGGGTCTACCCATCTTCTACTGAATCAGGAGCACCTTCGCTTTGTGAGTTTCGACCGAGTTCCTGTTCAATGCGCTAGATGGCAGTCTGTTCCATCATTTAACAATAGCAAGTGTGACATTGGTACCACTACGTTTTACATTTGGTTTGCCTTTTCCTGATTTCGCCCACGAAATGCACAGTCAATCCACTTTCAATGTAATCTGTGAAGCGCTTTGGAACTCCATCCCCCAGTGCCTTCACCGCCTCGCCTCCTCCCTTTCCTCCTTCAAGGCCGGTCTCAAGACCTTTCTCTTTGACCGTGCCTTCAGCTCCCCTCTCGACTCTCTACCCCCTCCTCGCTCCCTCCCTTCCCTCCCCTCACCCTGACCATTTCCCCCCAATGCTCGGGTCCTGACCCAACTGTACAGCGCCTTGGGACGTCCTCCTGACGTGAAAGGCGCTTTATAAATGGAATCTTGTTGTTGTTGTTGTTGGGACGTCCTCCCGATGTAGAAAGCGCTCTATAAATGGAATCTTGTTGTTGTTGTTGAGATATCCCCATGACGTGATAAGGCTCTATAACACAAGCAAGGATTATTATTATTATTATTATTATTATTTCACACCAGTCTCACTGATTCCCTTCTTGGCTTTAAAAGCTTTGCCTCCTTTCATTTTGTGCTTTTCCGTTTTTTTTTAAAAGAAAAGTCTTTTCATTTCGATTTACAATCCGGAATATCATGATTCTTTACTTTCAAGCCTTTCTGCTCTGTATATCTATTTAGGCTCAATGTAATAATGATAATAACAATCCTCGCATTTGATATAGCGACTTATCACGTCTTCGAGACGTCTCAAAGCGCTTCACGGGATACACTGTAAAGTGCAGTGACTGTGCATTTCGTGGGCAAAATGTGGCAGCCAATATTGCTCAATCAAGTCTACTGAGCTACTCAATAACTCCTTCGACTTCACCCCACTCCAAAACCAAGGTGCTCGTGGAGTACTCAAAATCAATAAGATGCACTCAGCTCCCTCCCTCCCCCCCTCCCTTCGTACCATTCACTATGTGTCTCCAGTTCCCACTTGAAACCAATTATCTGCTCCCTGGACCCCATTCCCACACAGCTCCTGTTCACCCACCTGTCACTTCTTCTCCCCCTCCCACCAGCAAACGTCAAAATAAAATCTGCTCGAACCAAAACATATTGGGCTATTTCTTTCCTCTCCTTTCATGGCGCTCCAACTGTTCAAAACTGCTCTCACTATTCCCCCTCTCCATCTGCTTCTCCTCTCCAAGGTATTTTGCCTGCCTTCTCCAAGGCAGAGGGCGAAACCTTGGGCAAGTTTCCTTACTCCACACACCTAATAATAATCCCCCAAAACAAAACAATAAAAAAATTGGTCATTTTCAATCCACGGCTGTTTGTGGGGACGCTGCTGAGTGCAATTGGCTGCCGTGTTTCGCCCACAAATATACAGTCAATTCACTTTACAGTCTATTCTGTGAAGCGCTTTGAGACGTCTGGAAGACGTGAAAAGCGCTATATCAAATGCAAGGATTATTATTATTATTATGTGTTGTCACCTCCCAGCTCTATTCCTTCCTCTTCCACCATAATCCAACTGATTCCCGGCCTCACACGGTCCACTCTGTCCACAATACTGACCAGAGCCACAAATAACATTGTATCTTCGACAACTCTACCTTTCTGCCTCCACCCTCCACTCCAGGACTGACGAAAGGTCATCGACCTGAAAGGTTAATTCGCTTTCCTCTCTCCTGGAGGCTGCCTGACCTGCTGAGTGTTCCCAGCCACTTCTGTTTTTATTCCAGGACTACTACAAATATACACAGCCAATTCACTTTACAGTGTATCCTGTGAAGCGCCTTGAGATGTCTCGAAGATGTGATAAGGCTCTGTATCAAATGCGAGGATTATTATTATTATTGCTGTCCTGACAGTCGACCTGGACATAAAAAGTAAGTGACCTGAAGGCCATGGAACAGGGAACCTGAATGAAACTGGGATAACACTCCTCAGGCAAATAAAAGTCATAGTATTGCCAAGATAGAGCTATTAACATAAAGAGATTAAATTTAGCACCTTGGTGAGGATTTCATATTTAAATTTCCCAATGATACTTTTCTGCTATGCTGTAAAAGAGGTGTTAAATGCAATTAGCATTTGGCTGCTGGTTCCTGTGTTACCGGAGTGATTAAGTGCTCTTAACATAAAACCTGATTGAACTGAACCAAAATATATTGTACCATTTCTCTCCTGTCCAATTGACTCCCAAGTTTGCCGCGTTTGATTTAGATGTGTTTGAATTGTCTTCAGAGATTAAAAATCAAAGAAAATAACTGAGAAATAATAATAATAATAATAATCCTTGCATTTGATATAGCGCTTTTCACGTCGGGAGGACGTCCCAAAGCGCTTCACAGAACACACTGTAAAGTGAATTGACTGTATATTTGTGGGCGAACGCGGCAGCCAATTGCGCACAGCAGCGTCCCCACAAACAGCCGTGGATTGAGTGACCAAATTATTATTTTTTAAAAAGCATTAAAACAAGGAGCGTTTCTTGTTTTAATGTCGGTGCCCGTGTTCCCGTAACGATTCTCCGCCTAAGTTTCTGAGTGGACGTACGTCGAAGGTTGTGGGTTCAAGTCCCACACTAGAATTTGAGCTCATCATCTCAGTTGACACTCCAATGCACTATGTGAGTGCTGGTTCACTGGAGACGTCAGCCTTTATACCAGGTGTTGAACTGAAGTCCTTGCCTGTCTGTTCTGGTGTTTCAGAACGACGTTAAAGGTTACGGATGAATTCACTCCCAGACGCTGTCAGTATTCCTCCCTCATCCAAATCCCCTCAATATAAGACGCAGATGAATTTCCATTTCACTGGCGATTGTGGGAGCGGGTTCAAACGGTAGTTTCTGAGTAGATTTGTGTTGTATCAAATCAAGATACTTCATTAAAAGAAAGTAACGATGACACGGTACAATTTGACAATTTCAAATTAGTGTTGACGAATATTAAGAAACAGGAACAGTAAAACATGTGCATTTTATTCCTACCCCTTTCTGTCTGGCTGTGTAATCTGTCTCTTGGCTGTGTTGCATTCGGTCCCCGCCGTCTCTCTCAGCTGCGCTCGCCTTCTGTTCCAACTCTGATCTGCGCGTTGTTTGCGCTGTGCCTTGTGCTTGCTCTCTATACTAAATGTACGCCGACTTTCGCCCACAAAATACACAGTCAATTCACTTTGCAGTACATTCCGCGAAGCGCTTTGAGACGTCTGTAGGCGCTCTGGGACGCCACCCGGCACAGAGGACGCTCTATAAATGCAAGTTGCTGTTTTCTTGAAGATGTGATAAGGCGCCATATCAAATGCAAGGATTATTATTATTATTATTATTAATATTATACACTATAGATGTGACTCTTTCTGTGTGGCTATCTGATGTTTATCGGATCACTTGCCTGGCTGTGCTTCATTCTGCTTCAGTCTCCTGGTCTCTGCCCCTTTCTATCAATCTGCCTTTGCTGTGATTTTCTATATTCTGTTCACTCAGCTCTCTAATCTCTTTCCTGGCTCAGGATATCTACCTTGGCTTCTGCCCTCAGTCTCCAATCTTTCCTGGTTGAAATCTGATGTGCCTGCCTGCTGGGTCCCTGAATGACTTTGAATATTTTAAATGGTTTCTTTCACTTGTTTCTTTGGCATCAAATTAATAATAATAGTCCTTGACCAGCAAGAAACAGTTTGAAGGATGGTGGTGCTACATTGTTTTATGTATGCCTCTGTTTACTTAATAGTAACTAGTAACCCGGTTGTCAGTCGATTGGCAAATCTCTTTTCCGGGGGTTATAATCCCTTCACCAAAAAAATTATTTAGTCACTCAATCCACCACTGTTTGTGGGGACGCTGCAGTGCGCATATTGGCTGCCGCGTTTCGCCCACAAAATACACAGTCAATTCACTTTACAGTATATCGTGTCAATGACGTGACAAGGCACTGTATCAAATGCATGGATTATTATTTGCATTAAAATTCTTGTAGACTTGACGGATGACGTTCCACTGCAGTGCTGGGGTATGCTTCATTGTTGGAGGTACAACCCTTTGGATGAGACGTTAAACCGAGGTCCCGTCTGCTTGTTCAGGTAGATATTAAAGGTCTTGTCGGCGCTATTCAAAAAAAGAGAAGGAAGTTGATCCCAGTGCGAGCCAGAAACCCACCACATAAAATTGATCATTTACATCAAGGCTGTTTGTTATGGGACATAGTTGTGCACAACATGTTTGTGTACAAAACACACAGTCGTTACACTTCACAGTGAAACAACACAACAAAATTACATTTGTAAAGCTTTGAGACTGACGCCCTCTTAATATGAAAGGCCCTATTTCAGATGCAAGAACTATTATTATTTAACATGCAGTTGACACTTTTCCCTCCTGATTTTTCTCATCACCCCATCTCTCTTGAAGACAGCAACTGGTGTTGGTGTTAGAGATGCTAAACGACAACTTTCTGGTACCAAAACGAAATGCTTTGAGATGTTTTCATAAATAATATAAGGCACTGCATCAAATGCAAGGGGTAAAAATCAAGAGAACACCAGTGTCCCAAGAACAAACCATTGGTGTTTTTAACACTTCTATTTTGTTATTTAAAATCCCAGCGCTCAGCACCACCCCTAAGGTGTTTCTCTGTGGGAGAGAACAACTCATTTAACCATTTATGCCACCAAAGAGAGTTAGTTAGTTAGTTGGTAGTTGACTTGTTGGAAGGTGCATTTTAATTGCTTTGCCTTTGCTAAACCCAGCCCTTGAACCTGCCCAAAAGTAAAGCGCTGACTTGGCGTTTGCACAGTGTGGGGGCAACTGATAACTGGTTAGTAAATGCAAATACATTAAAAAAAAGCCTTACTTTCAGCCCTTTTCAAAGGGTTTTTTTTTTTGAGTGGAGGGGGCGGAATTTCCAGAGGTTTAGAAACTCTTCTGTTAGTGAGTGGGTGTTTTTTGGGGAGTGTGTGGAACTGGAGTGATTTTTGGGGTGGAGTCGGGGGGTTTTTTTTTAGGAGGGGGCGCAATTTGCAGAGATTTAGTAAACTCTTCTGATAGCGGAGTGTTTTTTGGGGGGGCGGTGTATGTGGAATTGTTTTTTTGGGGGGGAAGTGGAAGAGGGGCATTTTTTTTAGGAGGGATTGAATTTGCAGAGAAAAGGGGTGCAATTGTGGTCTCTGTGTGTGTGTTTTTTAAAAAAGGAGGGGGTGCAATTTGCAAGAGTTTAGGGAACTCTTCTGGTTGCGGAACCGAGTTGAATTAGGAGGAGGAGGAGGAGGTGAAGAAGAAGAAGAAGAAGAAGAAGAAGAAGAAGAAGAAGAACAATGCTACGCCTACAGGACGCTCAAGCTCAAAGCAGAAGGTGTGACACCAGGTGAGTTGGAGTGGAGCTGGGCTGGGAGGTACTGTACTGAGCTGTGCGGAGTGTGTGGGGCTGGGCTATAGTGTAGTGTTTTGGGCTGTAGTGTAGTGTGTGGGACTGTAGTGTGTGTTGGGGTGTAGTGTGTTGGGGTGTAGTGTGCGAGGGTGTAGTGTGTGGGACTGTAGTGTTGTGTGTTGGGGTGTAGAGTGGGGTGTTGTGGTGTAGTGTGTTGGGGTGTAGTGTGTGGGGGTGTAGTGTGTTGTGGTGTAGTGTGGGGTGTTGGGTGTAATGTTGGGTTGTAGTGTGGGGGTGTTGGGGTGTCGTGTGGGGGTGTTGGGGTGTAGTGTGGGGGTGTTGGGGTGTAGTATGGGGTGTTGTGTGGGGGTATAGTGTGGGGTGTGGGGGTGTAGTGTGCGTTGTGGGGGTGTAGTGTAGGGGTGTTGGGTTGTAGTGTGAGGTGTTGGGGTGTTGGTGTGTAGTGTGGGGTGTTGTAGTGTGGGGTGTTGGGGTGTAGTGGGTGGTGTGGGGTGTAGTGGGGGTGTGGGGGTGCAGTGGGAGGTTTGGGGGTGCAGTGGGGGTGTGGGGGTGCAGTGGGGGGTGTGGGGGTGCAGTGGGGGGTGTGGGGGTGCAGTGGGGGGTGTGGGGGTGTAGTGGGGGGTGTGGGGGTGCAGTGGGGGGTGTGGGGGTGCAGTGGGGGGGTGGGGGTGCAGTGGGGGGGTGGGGTGCAGTGGGGGGTGTGGGGGTGCAGTGGGGGGTGTGGGGGTGCAGTGGGGGTGTGGGGGTGCAGTGGGGGGTGTGGGGGTGCAGTGGGGGTGTGGGGGTGCAGTGGGGGTGTGGGGGTGCAGTGGGGGTGTGGGGGTGCAGTGGGGGTGTGGGGGTGCAGTGGGGGGTGTGGGGGTGCAGTGGGGGGTGCAGTGGGGGTGTGGGGGTGCAGTGGGGTGTGGGGGTGCAGTGGGGGGTAGTGGGGTGTGGGGGTGCAGTGGGGGGTGCAGTGGCGGGTGTGGGGGTGCAGTGGGGGTGTAGTGGGGGTGTGGGGGTGCAGTGGGGGTGTGGGGGCAGTGGGGGTGTGGGGTGTAGTGGGGGTGTGGGGGTGCAGTGGCGGGTGTGGGGGTGCAGTGGGGGGTGTGGGGGTGTAGTGGGGGTGTGGGGGTGTAGTGGGGGTGTGGGGGTGCAGTGGGGGTGTGGGGGTGCAGTGGGGGGTGTGGGGGTGTAGTGGGGGTGTGGGGGTGCAGTGGGGGGTGTGGGGGTGCAGTGGGGGGTGTGGGGGTGTAGTGTTGGGGCTCAGTCGCTGCTCAGCAACAGTGTAACCGTGTGGGTGGGGACAGGCGCTGCTGTTGGAGCTGCAGAAGATCCTGAGCGGCTTCAGCGGCTGTTCCCAGTGCAGAGAGAGCGGCCGAGGGTGGGGGTGGGGGTGGGGGTGGGGGGTCGGGGCTGTGGGTGGGGGTGTGGGTGGGGGGTCGGGGCTGTGGGTGGGGGTGGGGGTCGGGGCTGTGGGTGGGGGTGTGGGTGGGGGGTCGGGGCTGAGCCGCTGGTGATGGGCGCTGGACCCCGGGCACCGGGTTAGAGCGGAGGGGAATGCGGCCCCGGACCCGCTGCTCCGCAGTCGCTGCTCATCCGCCAACCGCTGGCCATGGACACGGAGGGGGAGCGGTAGGTTACAGTCCGACTGTTACAGTGTAACTCTGAGCGCTACAATGTTACCGATTCCCCCCATTTCCCGCCTCTGTCATTGTTACACTGTTACACTGTTACGGTCACAGTGTTACATTGTTGCAGTTATTGCTACACTGTTACTGTTCTGTGAAGTCGCGGAAAGGCGGATTTGGTCGCTTTTCTGCTGCATTCTCTCTCTCTCTCTCTCTCTCTCTTCCCCTTCTTTCTCTGTCTCCCTCTCTTCCCTTCCCCTCTTTCTCTCTTCCCCCCTCTCCCTCTCCCCCTTCTCTCTCTCTTCCCCCCTCTCCCTCTTCCCCCCCCTCTCTCTCTCCTCTCTCCCCCTCTTCCCCCTTTCTCTCTCCCCTTTTCCCTCTTTCTTTTCTCCCCCTCCACCTCTTTCCTGGACTCAAGACAGGACTCTTGTGTGTGTGTGTGTATATAATGTTCGGCTCCTTTAAACCGGTGCAAGTCGGTGACCAAAACAACCGTGTCCCCTCAACACGCATGTGCGACCTGCGGGGTAAACCTGGCAGAAATTGGCAGGAAACTTTATAAGGTGTTGTGTTGCTTTGTGTTTTTTTTGGGGGGGCTGATCGAAACTCTGGCGCCCGGTGTGGACAGATCCCGGCTTGGTTTTATAATAATAATAATAATAATAATAATAACAGTCCTTGCATTCGGTGCGGTGCCTTATCTCGTCACTGAGACGTCTCAAAGCGCTTCACGGGACACACCGTAAAGCAGATTTTGAGGTCAAGCGACGTTTGGGCAGATTTGAGGACGTTATCAGTCTTTGCAGTTGTTGTTGAAATGTTATACACACACACCCACCCACACACACACCCACAAACACAGGCCCACACACTCACCCACACACACACACACACACAAACACAGACCCACACACTCACCCACACCCACAAACACACAGACACACACACACCCACAGACACTCTGTTCTCTGTTATGATCTCCCCAGTCAGGGTGAAGTGGACGGGGTTCCCTCGCGCTCTCTCTCTCTCTCTCTCTCTCCCCCCCTGATTGCTTACTGGCTGCTGACATCCAACTAACTTCTAGGATCCACCAGCTGCCACTCCCCCCCCCACACCTGGTCCCCTTCCTGTTTGTAACTGGGTGGGAAAGAACACTTAATGCTGTATATTCGGTCACCTAAATCTCTCGTCTCAAGACCCTCCTCTTCGACCGCGCCTTCGGTCACCCTCCTACCCCCACCCTCCCCAACCCTCCACCCCTCCTGATCCCAACCCCCCCCCCTCAGCTCGGGTCCAAATCCCTGACTGTCCAGCGCTTTGGGACGTCCTCCTGACATGAGAGGCTCCGGGTAAATGTCATGTGTTGTTGTTTCCCTTGAGGTACTGTAGAACGAGCTGAATAATTCCATCATATACATCAATAATAATCCACAGGACTCTCTCACCAATTCTCGGGGGGGAAGAGAGGGAGAGAGAATTGTTAGATTTTAAAGCCTTTACGTTGTAACCCCAACGAACGGCAAACCCACCCACCCACTGCGCAGTGTGGGTTTACCGTTGCTCCTGGGTGCTGGCAGGTTTAACGGCCTGTGGAAAATCAGCGGCAAAGTGTTTTACAGAGTGGCAGCCAAGTGGAAAACCAGTGAAATCATAGCCTCTTTAGGCAGCACCAAGTCGAACCCTCAGTCTTGTCTTTACTTGTCTCCACCGTCAGAAATTGCAGAGAAATTGATCATCGATGCGTCCACTCCCTCCAGCTGCTGTCGTAACTTTCCCAACACCTGGGCTAAAGTGAGCAGAAAAATAGCTCCAGCCCTTTAACGCTTGCATTTCATGCAGCGCCTCATCACACCTTTGAGACGTCTCAAAGCGCTGCAGTTCACAGAATACACTGGAAAGTAAAATGGACTGTGTATGTTTTGGGGGTGGAACGCGGCCGCCAGTTGCGCTCAGAGGGGACCCACAAACAGTCGTGGATTGTGTGACCGTATTATTATTTATTTATTTTAGAATGTCGCAGGGCTATTAATCGTGCAAAAGAGTGGCGTGCAAACCCAAAATACAAGTTGCTGCTACTCTGGAGTCAACTTGTTCAGACACCAACAAACAGTCAAATGCACCTTGAGTTACGCCCCTTTGCTCTGACTGACACTCTTCTTTCTGGCTCTTATTTTGGTTACAAGTGCAATATGTCATCGGTGGTGTCCGAGTCGCAGATCTCTCGTTGGAAGGTTCGTTCATACACATCTGATTCACAGAACCTTTCAATGAGGGGAACACGAAAACTACCACATGATCTTACACACTCACATGGGTCACACTCACTGAGGAGCTTCTGTTGTGTTTCGCCCGTAATATACGCAGTCACTACACTTTACAGCATGTTCTGTGAAGTGCTTTGAGACGTGTCTTGACGACGCGGTATATCAAATGCAAGGGTTATGATTACTATTTTTATTGTGTATTACATGAATAATTATATTGGATTTGCCATATCCGATCGCAGTTTCTGATGTATTCTCAACTGTGTTTCTTCATTGCTAAACACATTGACACATTCTGAATAAATTACTATTTTTGTGGGACGAGAGCAGCTATATCAGAAGTCTTGTTTCTGTATAATAATGACACAATCTGTTTGTTCCTTATGCTCAGCCTAGTCCGTGTGATATACAATATCGTTAGAGTGCACAGACTTACTCCATCTTATCATCAGGACGCCTTCTTTATTCCTGTCCGTATTGTCCATCAATCGGATAATAATCACCAGTGGGAGTGGAGAATGTGATATGACTTTATTATTTTTTTTTGAAGAGAAAGCGATCCGCCAATCGACTAACTGTTCCTACTGACTGCCGGTAACCAGAGGCGTGTGTGTGTGTGCGGAGTAAGGAAACTTGCCCAACATTTCGCCCCCTGTCCGGGAATCGAACGCAGGTCCTCTCGCTCGCGAGGCGAGTGCTCTGACCACTGAGCCACAGGACTCCCAACAATGCTTTTAGATGAAGCAATGATTAATGTGTTACCACATACATCTTTTAGGAGAAGGAAACAACTTGTGTGGGGGTGGCAAACACATTTCCAAAAAGCAGATATTAACAGCTGAGTCATGCAGTTGACTTTTTTTTTGACATTTTCCGAGCAGCATCCCACTGGGCGAAGCTTTCAAACCGTAAATTAGGTGAAATTGGTTAATTTTTCCACTTTAGCAACGGGGAATGAATCACTAATAATAATAATGATCCCTGCGTTTGATATACGGCCTTATCTCGCCATTGAGACGTCTCAAAGTGCTTCACGGGACATACTGTAAAGTGGAGTGACTGTGTATGTTGTGGCTCATTATCAGTCTGCTGACTTCTGTGATGTGAAACACTCAGCCCTTCTCTGTGCAGTTCCGGGATGCAGCCCACTCAACAACAACAACAACAACAACAACAACTTGCATTTATACAGTGAACTTCACACGGGAGAGCATCCCCGAGCACTTGACCTGGTTATTAATCGATTGGCAGATCGCTTGTCCGAGGGGGTAATATTTCCTTAAACAAAAACGTGTTCACTCAAACCACGACCGCCTGTGGGACGCAATGCTGTGCGCGACCGGCTGCTGAGTTTCGTCCCCAAAATAAACAGTCAATTCACTTTTACTGTATGTCCTGTGAAGCGCTTTGAGGCGTCTCGAATGTGTGATGAGGCGCCGTATCAAACGCAAGGATTATTATTATGATGATTGTTCATACTGAGTCGCTTAAAGGGGCAGCAATCAGGAAATAGCCCCTCGTGCCTCTGTCACTGTCTCTGTACGGATTCCTGTCGCACAATTACTTCAGCGCACTCATTCGTCAAGTATCGTTTAAATTGCTTCTGGTTTTAAAGAAAATTGCTCGTGAAGTCGACTGAGGTTCTATTTTTATTTTCGTTCCGCGTGGTCCAAAAAGAGAACGAACGTCTTTTAGACTTTTAAACGTTTTTAAACTTCTTGTCAATGATAAAGTTGGAGTGGTTTTAGGATTTCTGTCTCCGGGCCCTTTTATTTTTGTGGCCGAGAATAATAAAAAAAGGCTGTAAAGTGAATCACACAGGATGTTTTTCCAATACTTTAAAGTTTCTTGAATGTTCTGTGTAATTTGTACTTTTTTTTCCCCCCTTCTGGGTCCCGATACCCTTGTAAATGTTGGCTCAGATTGTCGGCCATCAATTAATCCTAATAACACTTGACAACAGTGTGAAGCCAAACTTCTGGTGCTCTGGTTTTAAAGGGGCCTCGACACACACCAAAACGGATTCAGTTTCAAAACGTTACCGTGACTTTCCAACGATCGGGGTTTGATTAAACGGCGAGAGTTCAGTGGTTAGCGCGAGGGGCGAGAGCTGTGAAACCGGTTCTGTGCGGTGTCTGTGATTTTCTACCCCTCTTTCGGCTCTCTGTGCATCACGCTCCCTTTGCCAGTCAGGAGGTGACCTGATGTGCAGATTCAGTAGCTTCCACGGAAGTCCTTATTGTTAGTTGTCGTACTCATATTTTCCCCTCCCACCCAACGCCCATCTCTCTGGGAAAAACCGGTCTGAAACAGTCAATTTAAGATCAGGAGCTGTTCAGGGCGATCGGGCGCAAGGCTTTAAAACTCTCTGGTGCGTTAATTAATAATTAATTAATGTGCGTTGAGATACCAGTAATAATCCTTGCATTTGATACACGTCAGAAGGACATCTCAAAGTACTTTGCAGGAATTTCGCTGCACAGTCAAGCCGTGTTCTGCGGGCGAGAGCATTTCCTGAGGAGCATGTAGAAATTGCAGTGTGAACTTCACTTCGGTTGTGTGCCTCTGTCAGGATCGACGCAATAACTTTTGCATAGAACCGAACAGCTGGGGGAGCTTTCCGTATTCAGTGTGAAAATGGGGCCCTGTTAACTGGGATCACACACATCTCTAAGTGCTCCGGGATGCTGCCCTCAAGTCAAGAATCCTATATAAATGCGAGTCGTCGTTTGTCGCTATCTGTGAGTGGGTTGACTATCGTACGACGATCTTCTCAGAGCTGTGACACTGTTTCGACGCGAGCAGTCCGTGCCAATAAGACATCGATGTGTGATGTGTTTTTCTCACTAAAGTATCTTGGACGTTGAAGCTGAAAACACAATTGGCTGATCACCCGACTCAGCACAGGAGGCAGTCAGTCAGTCAGACAGTCAGTCAGACCCACATTCTGGTCTCCTCTTAAGATTGGCAATGGTTTAGAGTTCCCCTGTGTTTGTTCCTCTGCCAACAAAGAGTTTAGAGCTGAGAAGCCGTTCAGTGACTGTTCCTTCGGGCAGACTCTCGACTCCTTTCCAAAGTGAGATGCTGGGAGCTGACTGTGCCTCTGACTGCTCTCAAAACATTTTTTTCCATTTCATTAACACAAAAATACTTTGTGATTTGCAACCGATGGCACATTTTCATTATTAACGATGCTAAAAAACTTGCTGAGTGTCCTTGTGTGTATAGATGAATGAATGCAGAAGCAAAGGTGGTTACAGCCCAAATAATGGGTATTTAGTTTTCTCCAGATGGTGTGGTGTAATCGATAGCTCATTAACGCTGTATTAGGAGAAAGGTATTTGGTGGCTAATGAGTAGATGATGAGTTTCACTTGGAGTCCCAGGAACCTCCCTCTATGTTTGCTCCACATTTGACAGAGTTAATAATCTTTGCATTTGATACACCCCCTTATCATGACACCGAAACATCTCGAACCCCACAAACAGTCATGAAGTGAATGACCCATTTTTATCTGGGAGATTGCTGGCCAGGATACTGGGGGAGAGAAACTGCCTTCTGAACAGACAGACAGACAGACAGACAGGACTGTGGGTTTAAAGTTTCATTCGAAAGACTGAAGTCACAATGTAGTGTATTGGAGTCAACTGTGAGTTCAAAGTCCCAACGTGGGGTTTGAGCTCCGAGGCTCGAGTGCTGCCAAGTGAGTCGGGCTAACGCGTGATTTGAATTATAATAACAAAAATAATAATAATCCTTGCATTTGATACGGCGCCTTATCGTGTTTTCGAGACGTCTCAAAGCGCTTCACAGAAAACACTGCAAAGTGTAGCAACTGTGTGTTTTGTGGGCGAAAAGGGGACGGTAGTGGAAATGAGATGAGGCTTCACTAGCTCTGTGTCCCTTTAATTCTGCCCTGTTTTCAATGATTATTGTTCATTTCTCTAAATCCATGTTTTCACACTTGTGTGAACAGCAGTGCCAAGTCCTCACCTTCACAAACCGTGGATCCGGATGACAAAGACCAGGCCTCGGTTACTATGAACCCTCTTCATATGAAGAAAGCCTTCAAAGTCATGAACGAGTTGAGAAGGTAACAGTACACTCGAGTCTTTCCAACTTTAGCGTTGAATATCTTGTAAGATGTGAGAGGATTAGAAGAAATAGCGAAAGTATTCAACAACAATAATAATAATGATAATAATCCTTGCATTTGACACAGCGCCTTATCAGTGTCGTCGAGAAGTCTCAAAGCGCTTCACAGAATATACCGTAAAGTGAATTGACTGTATATTTTCTGCGCAAAACGCGGCAGCCAATTGTGCACAACACCGTCCCCACAAACAGCCGAAAATTGAGTGACCAAGTTGTCAGCTTGCATTTACATCGCCATGTAAAGCCAAGCTACTGTTGATTAATACTCTCGCTGTTGTTGTTAATACTTTATTTGTCTCGGAGTGCTTAAAGCTTAAGGATCGCTTGTATGTACGTGGGCTGTTTAAAAGCATTTCAGATTGTTACTCATCAAACCTATGTCACACGACCAGCCTAGTTAGTTCATATTTAGCTAAACCTCTTTCGAACCGAAGCGCAACCAACCCGAACGTGACCAAATCGGAGCCAAGTGCGCCTCGGCCGACAATTTATGAACAGCATTGACAGTGCCTAGAAAATAAAGACGCGTTAGAAATTGAATCGCGATGTGAAAATATGAAGTGCGAAAATATATATTTTTTAATATCTCTCCCCCTTCTGACATATTTCACGTGGACTCCTCCTCCTCCTCCTAATATTTGACCTTAGCCCCACATCCCTGAAGTCAGTCAGTCTCTCTCTCTCTGTAACCCCTCTATGTTTTGCTTCACTTGCACTTCTCCCTGTGCTGTCGTCATTTCCTTCCGGTACGGTTTGTGTTCCATCACGGCACCCTTTCTTTTCTTTAGTTCCGTTTGCGAGGAAAGGAGGAATTAACTCTTCTTCTTCTCCCTTCTTCTTCTTCTTCTTCTTCTTCTTCTTCTTCTTGCTGTTGTCTGGAAAATGATTCCTCAGACATTTCAGGGCCTGTTCCCATGTGGGTCGACCTCCCGACGACACAGTCTTAGTCACTGCATTTCGCAAAAATGCGGCACAAAATAATTAGGAAAGCCAGGATTCCTTACTGGTATATGTGATCTGCACAAGTGACCCTTTCTGACTCTGTGAAACTTCTAACTTGACGTCAGCCGCGCAGACATCCAATTAATCTGATAACCAGTTTCCAATCTCTGGAACTCCCCCTCCATCCCACTCCCTCTCTATCTATCTGTCTCCGAGCCCCACCTTAACAATAACCGCTTCGACCTCCTTCTCCCCCCCCCTCTCCTTCCACAGTTTGGCTTTGTGAAGCGTCCTGAGGTATTATTCTACGCGAAGTCTGCTCCACAAATGCAAGTCGTGGCTGTTTTATATGTACAGTGAAGCTTATGCAGAGTTTTTCGCATAGAACATCCCCAAAGTGCTTCACAGAGACTGAGAGAGAGCCTGAGCAGGGTGAGAGGAAAAACAAGAGAGGGGGGGGGGGGGTAGATAATGTCTGAAGATGTTGTCAAAGAGAGAGGTCGTTAGACAGGTTTTTAAAACATGCAGAGCATTGCACACCGCTCAAGACTCCAGTAAAACACCAATTGGCTGCTGCGTTTCACCCGCAAAACACGCAGTCACGACACGTTACAGTATATCCCGTGAAGCGCTTTGAGACGTCTCGAAGTAGTGATAAGGCGCCGTATCAAATGCGAGGATTATTATTATAAAAGGTACAACAGTCTTTCTGCGTGTTAGAGTTTCACACAAAATAACACAGAGCACCCAAATGCACTGAGTGACACGCTCACCTCACGTTCATCTCACTCCGCAGGTCCAACCTTTACGGTTTTAACTATATTCGGGTTCCGGAACCGGTTGAAGAACAGGTTAAACGTTACCGCACAAACACAGGCAATAATACAGCCGCTGGCGGAGAGAGCAGGATTCCTGCTGGGACAGCGAGTAGCGTGTGTTGTGGAGATTCCACTTTAATGGACAGTCACTACACATCAGAGGCGCTGTGTTAGAAACTGTTATACAGCACCGAGACCAGGAAGGCTTCCTCACTTGCTGTTAACTGTTCAGTTTGTTGCTGCTGCTTAAGTAGTGGGAGGACCAGGGTTGTCATTTACACAATGTCTTTCGTGTCGGGAGGATGTCTCAAGGCGCTGGACGGTCAGGGCTTTGGACTCCGGCAGGCGGTTGGGGACAGGAGGGGTGGAGGGCGGGGAGGGTAGTGGTAGGAGGGTGACCCAAGGCGCGGTTGGTCGAAGAGGAGGGTCTTGAGATGTGCCTTGAAGGAGGGGAGGGAGCCAGGCGAAGGGAATGCGGGATGGAGTTGCAAAGGGTGGGGGCAGAGAGGCTGAAGGCTCGAGCTCTCGTGCGCTCACCTGAAAAAAAAATCCACATCCCATCGTTCACTGAGGTTTTCACAGTAACAGCCGAGCGACTTGAAGAAGGCGTGTGACATGAGTTTGCTTCTGTGCGTCCTCGCTCGTCAAGTCTCCTCAAGCTTTCTTGAATGCTACCGAGTGATGGCAAATGTTTTGTAAACTTACAGTAAGAGCACCCTGTGTGACGTGACCATAGTGGCGGAGGACGTGGAGATCGCTGCACACCGTGTGGTGCTCGCCGCCTGCAGTCCTTATTTCTGCGCCATGTTTACAGGTAACCTTTTGCGTTCTGCCCTCTTAGGCCTAGTCTTTTTTTTTATTAAAGGTCCTTCCCCTCCAGCGTCCAGGTTTCTCACCTTGTGCAGGTTCTCGGCCCATTGCCACGTTGTATGGAAACTAGATCAGCAATGAGAGCGTTAGAGAGTTTGCCTCACAAGCCAAGGGGATCCAGGTTCGATTCCCGGGCAGGACAGGGCGAAACATTGGGCAAGTTTCCTTACTCCACACACAGACACGCATGCACACACACACAGACACGCACGCACACACACACAGACACGCACACACGCCTCTCTTTACCCAGCAGTAAGTAGGAACCTGGTTGTTAGTCGATTGGCGGATTGCGGGAGCCAATCGCACACAACAGAGTCCCACAAACACTGGTGGTTTGAGTGAGCAAATTATTATTATTATGATTATTAATTTTTTTTTGAAACCTGGTTCTGCGCCTGCTTTTCTCCCAAAATTTCCATCTCTTATTCAGCTGATGGGGGCAGGAAATAGAGGAAAGACGAGTGTAAAATATAATATAATGTATCATGGCTGAGTGTGTCGTGTGTCTCCCTGCCCAACCGGCAAGTTCTCGACCTCAGCCAGGATTGTCAGGCAGTGTCTGTGCTTTTTGCTCTTGGCCAAACATCTCCCAGTGACACGTGAATGGTGGGGTTCAGTGAGCAGCTCCATGTCCTCTGGCCCCACACCTGCCATCTCTGATGGGAAAGAAGATAATAGTAATAATAATAATCCTTGCATTTGATGTAGTGCCTTATCACGTCTTCCAGACATCTCAAAGCGCTCCACAGGACACACTGTAAAGTGAATTGACTGTGTATTCTGTGGGTGAAACGCGGCAGCCAATTGCGCACAGCAGCGTCCCCACAAACAGTCGTGGATTGAAGTGACCAATTTATTATTATTATTATTTTTTAGCCTCAGGGACAGGCAGACATGCACCGATTTACAGTCAAAAGAAATGTTTCTGTATGAGACTCGAGAGCGTTTTCATGACGATTCCGTTTTGCAAATTGCATTGCGATTATCTTCACAGGCGACGCTTAAACCTCACTCCCCCTCTGCCTGTTCAGGTGAACGCTAAAGATCCCGCGGCGCTATTCGAAAAGAAAAGGGAGTTTCTCTCTCTCTCTCTCTCTCTCTCTCCGGGTGTCCTGGCCGACAATCCCTCCCCCCACCCCACCACCCCCTCCCAGATAAAATTGGTCACTCGCTCCATGGCTGCTTGTGGGAAGTTGCTGTGCGCAATTGGCCGACACGTTTCGCCCACAAAATCACAGTGTGTCCTGTGAAGTGTCTTGAAGCGTCTGGATGACGTGACGGGTTAGATCTTTGTGGGGTCTACCTGTCTCGAAGCGGGGTTCCGCCGTAGCTTGTCAGTATGTGTCCCCGCGATCATTACGCTGTCTTTGCCGTGTGTGCTAACCAGTTACAGCGAGTCCCTAAACTGAACAGGGCTTTTGTTTTGTTGCCTTGTAGGAGAAATGACTGAAAGTAAAGCCAAGAAGGTGGAAATCAAAGACATTGACGGACAGACACTAAGTAAACTAATCGATTACATATACACGGCTCAAATCGAGGTCACTGAAGAGAACGTACAGGTAAATATCCCTCGACCGAAAGCAGCAGCGAAAGCAATATCTGATACCTTTGCTGGTGTCCTGCACTGCAGTTCCAGAGGCCGATATATCAGATATAACGTGTCGTATTGCTGTTAACCTTTGCAGGTCTCCTAACTTGGGTCCTCTCTCTTTAATCAACACAATCTCCGTATTTGCAACCGGTTTATAATAATAATAATAATAATTATCCTTAGATTATTGCAAGGATTATTATTATTATTATAATTATACATAATCCACCCAGCTTTCTCTGCTCCTTGGGGCTGTGGGGACAGAACACCAGAGAGGTAAATAAACACACATAAAATCCCGAGGACAGACATCGTGAAAGCTTTAGAAATATCCCTCTTCCTGGATCGTATTCTGGGCGAGAAAAATCCAACAGTCCTGAACTGATTGAGTTAGTGAGCAAAGTACAGGCGGGCTGGGGGAATATTCTGGGCTGTAAATCACAGGTTGTAGGCTTGATGGCCGCCTACACACTTGTATTTACTATCCATTTGCTGCAGAGTTTAGAGTGAGGCCTCAAGTATCTGCTATTGCCGCCCACTCTTCACACCCACTGCCTTTTATTAACAATAACACCGGCAGCGCCAGCGATTTAAACACTGAGGATTATACAGTGGTGAGCGACACACACATTGATCCTTTTGTTTCCCCAACGCTCTTCTTCACCTCCTGTAGGTGGGTCTCATTGTCAATGTGTAACTGAGGACGTGTATGTAACTAACGGGATGTGTTCACTGAACACGACAGCCCTCTGGTATCTCAGCCAAATGGCTGTTCTTGGGGTGGGTGTGGGTGGATGGGTGTCTGTCTGTCTGGATAGTGTACGTCACTGAGCAATGCTCGTGTGAAGAGCATCAACTGCTGGTAAACTCACCAAAATTCCCAGATAAAATGGGTCGGTCACTCTGTGGTTCACTCAATCCTTCTGCCTTGCTCTCCTCCCTCCCTCCCTTCCTCCCTTCCTTCCTTCCTTCCTTCCTTCCTTCCTTCCCCACTTTCAAATCCCAACTAAAGACCTTCCTTTTTGATCGTGCTTATGGTCACCTCCAACACCCACCCCCCACCCCACCCACATTCCTCTCCTACTGGCTCGGGGTCAGACTCCGCCACTGTCGAACTCTCTGGGAGGCTATCCCGTGTGAAAAGCCCCCGTGTGAAAAGCCCCCGTGTGAAAAGCACGGTATAAATGCAAGTTGTTGTTGTTGGTTGTTTGTAGGACTTTGTTCTGCCCAAATTGTGTTTGCCTTCAAATACAGTCACTACGCAATGGCTTTGAGATGTCTTGCCGACGTGATAATCTCATCGACGTGATAATCTCATCGACGTGATAATCTCATCGATGTGATAATCTCATCGACGTGATAATCTCATCGATGTGATAATCTCATCGACGTGATAATCTCATCGACGTGATAATCTCATCGACGTGATAATCTCATCGACGTGATAATCTGGCCTCTGAGATTCTCACAATGGGCTGAGGGACGGACAGAGGGCAAACCCTCAAATATACAGTGACTGACAGCACTTTACGGTTTATCCTGTGAATAATATTTTTTTTCGTTTGTTTGTTTTGAAGGGATTATTATCCCCCGGGAAAGCAATCCGCCAATCGACTAACAACCGGGTTCCTACTTACTGCTGGTAAACAGAGGCGTGGGTGTGTGGAGTAAGGAAACTTGCCCCACGTTTCGCCCCCTGCGCGCCCGGGAATTGAACCCGGGTCCTCACTCTGGTGAGGGCTTGTGTGTGGGATGTGAAGAAGCCAAACCAGCTCCTGTCCACGTTTGCCCAAGTTTAGGGGTTACAGCATCCTGTAACCATTCCACTGTTTGAGGTGGAGGACAAAGGCGTCTGTTTCGCTGCATCTTTAAATCAACTTGGGAAGAATCCTGATAGAAACTCCATCATCCGGGGCAGCATTGCATTAAAATGACCGCCTGGAGCAACAAAATAAAATGGGAGTGATCTTTTCACCCTCTCTCTCTTTCTCTTTCGTTCTCTCTCTCTTGCTCTCTCTCTCTATGCTTTTGTTCGAATCCACTCATTGTGTGGTGAAGGCCACTGTGCTTAGTGAAGGGGAAAGATGTTCACTCATCGCATTAATCCTGGCTTGAAAAGATAGTCGTTCTGCCCAGCTCCCTTGAGTGTCCCTGTTCGTATTTGGGTGGAAGCTATTTTAAGGGATTGAGAGTTCATGTGCTGTTTCCCTTGCTGTTTAATCCCACAGCGCAGATCATTACACAACATAAAGACAATCTTCCTTGGTTTATATCTAAAAGATAAAGTCATTAAACACACATCAAGTTGTTCAGCTCTAAAACACTCACTAACCCCCTTGACTGTAAAATCCTGTGAAGCACTTTGAGATGTCCTCCCAACATGAAAGGTGTTCGAGCAAATGCAAAGCCTTGACCGATGATGATCCTGTTTAACGGAGAAAGGCATAAGTATTTCAACCATCTTAAATAATAATAATTAATAATGATGAGTCAATAATAATAATTTGGTCACTCCAGCCACGACCATTTGTGCGCAATTAGCTGCCGCGTTTCGCCCACAAAATATACCCAATCGACTAAGAACCGGGTTCCTACTTATTGCGAGGTAAACCGAGGCGTGCGGAGTAAGGAAACTCGCCCAACGTTTTGCCCCGCCCGGGAATCCAGTCCAGCTCCTCTCGTTTGCTCGTAACCATTGACTTACAGGACTCCAATTCCAGTGGTGTGTGGTGATTCTCCCACCTCAGTGAAGGGGAAGTGGCCGTGTGGGGGAGAGAGAGAGAGAGAGAGGGTCTTTTCCTTTATAACGTACGTTGCGGATGATTTCAAAAAATGAAGTTGCTGTGGCATTTTATTTACCCGCAAATTAAATTTAATTCCCCAGCAACAACCCTGTGCCAGGTTGTTGTATCTGTCAGACGCACACTCTGGGCTCCCCCCAAGCCTTGGCTCTTGCCAATTTATGCCTAATACTTTCTGGATTGAGGTAAGCGGGATACGTCCCTCCAGGGAGAGAGACAGAGACAGAGAGAGCGCATTTCAGTCCAACAATCTCTCTCCGGGATTTCCATGTGTCGGTGAGAGGCCTGGAATTCTCAGCTTGGTTTGGAGAGTCTGAATCACGATGATGGGTTTGCACACGCGTCAGACACCCGGCTGACACCCCCCCCCCCCCACCCCCACACCCAAAAAAAATATTAGACGCAGGGAGAGGACAGTTGTAGAGGGCAGGAGTTACGTTTAGGAAATGAATGAAATGGTTAGTGACAGAAACGCACTCTGTAGTTAGCCCTCCCGGACTTGCTGTTACTCCACGTTTCCGCAGAAATTCGGGATGTTTGAAACTGTGATTAGAAGTGCCCGGCGGGTCCTTTTAACACTGAGATACTCAGGGATCTTTGGTTTGTTTTTCTCTGTCCAGCCGGATTGCGCTTCCCCTCTCTGTCTCCTTAAAGGAAGCGGCGAGTTTGCAGAGGGATATCCTTTTGCTGCGTTTCTGTTGCTGAGCTCATAATACTGTCGAAAAACAAACTCTGTTTCACTGGTTTTATTATCATTTCTCAGCTTATTCTGTGTGTGTTTCCCCCCCCACCCCCACCCCCCCCCACCCTCACCCCCCCAACCAGAGGATTAAGAATTGTAAACACAGGAGTTGATGGGTTATGTCGTAAGCCACGAGAACAAAGTTTAACCAGTTATGGGAACACTGACCTGATCTCCTGTCTAACATTAGATTAATAGGAAGAAAATCACTCCCCAATACTTCAAAGGTTGTAAAGTGCGCGATTACAGCTTCATGTTAGGATTTTCATTGTTTTTTTATATACAGGGTGACCAAAAGTCTTGATATCTACCCTGTTATCTAAAACAATAAAATGATATCATCATTTCTGCAAGTCTTTTTAGACATTGTAATGGTATCCTGACTTTCTCGTCACCCTGCGCGCGTGTGTGTGTGCACGCGTGTGTGTGCGTGTGTATAATATATATATCTGCGCAGTGTCTAATGTGCTTCCTGCTGTTCTTTAATGAATATCTCTAAAATGATCAACAGTATAGGATTAGATTGTTTTTGGGATATAAAACAACAAATGATATTTCTGTACCACCTTTCACATCGGGAGGACGTCCCAAGGCGCACACACAGATCCTCCACAGGTTTATTCATCAACAACAACAACTGAGGCTACAACCTTTCCCTCCCTTTACTCGGCTAACGACACCTCTCTCTAGTTAAGGTCAGCTGTGGTGCCTTGACCAAGTTCCCTGAGACGCTTGTCTGCATGGAGGGCGCTGTATAAGTGCAAGTTGTTGTTGTTGACCATAGTTCTGGCTGATCTTGTCGCCCTGTCCCGTGACCTTGAGTATCTTGCTCTAGGTGTTGTTGCCGGCAGCCAGTCTCCTACAGTTAATGGATGTACGGACCGCTTGCTGTGACTTCTTACAGTCCCAGCTTCATCCGACCAACTGCCTGGGAATCCGGGCATTTGCCGATGTTCACACCTGCACAGAGCTGCTGAACCAGGCCAACGCCTTCGCAGGTAAGTCAGATTCTTATGTTATGTTGAAGCTCCAGAACCTATTTTGTTTCTCTTATGGTGGCCGGGGTCCAGACAGATGGACCGGTTTCCTCGACTCGCTCATAGCCCCGCCCGACATTGTAGCTTCCCCCACCGCTCAGTTTTCCTGGTTTCCTCCAGATGAAATCGGTCGTTCTCCTACATCGTGGTTGTTTCTGGACTGTGGCTGTGCCCCAATTGGCTGCTGTGATCACCTCCAGATACTGCACCTGACAGTGAATGGGTGTAAAGCTGATAAAATCTGACAGGCGGCCAAACCAATTCGTGAAGATGAAGTTGAAATGTTTCCCGTTTCAGAACGCTATTTGCGGTTGTTTTCTGTTTATGCAAAACGGTGCCATTAGCTCCTCACATCAGCACCTTTCATGCAAAAGAGAACAGCTCAAAAGCCCTTCACAATAGCAGCAGCAGAGACCAGGCAACAAATCACCTGGAGAAGGGGGAGATTATAAAGGCTACAAGAGTTGACCTTGTCGAGGCGTGCAGCGTTGTCCTCATTATAACGCCGTGTGTTGTAGCGAGCGCCCTTTCTCTACACTGCTCTTGCGATGTGACCTGCGGTAAGCTATATCTGCCCATATCCTTTCACTGTGACACCGTGCACATTGCAGACTGTTCAAAGGCTCCTATTATATATTCCAACAATAAAGGGATGATTATACAGCTGATGGTTGTGATTTGAGGGGAGTACACTGAATCGGTTGGAGTAATTCCACCCAGAAGGTGGCCTGATTGCGCATAAAGTATTCAAGCATCGTGACTTCTCATTACACATACCATACAGAGAAGTATTCCTGTTTGTTGAAGCGTTCATTTCATTACAGAGCCATTTCTTGTATACAGATTCCCTGGCTGCACAGGTCGATGTTAATAGTACTCGGGGGTTTTGTTAATATCGGATTTTACAAGCGCTACAAGACGCAATTAAAATTCTTTAGGATTTAGTTTAAAAAGTAAGTGTCGGTCCGTGCAATAAAAGTCAGAACCAGGCCTTTCTCTGTGTGTGTGTGTTGTGTTGTGTGTGGTGTTGTATGTGCTGTGTTGTGTGTGGTATGTGTGTGTGAGTTGTGTGTGTACGTGTGCAACAGCCAAAAGGCTGGGTTTTCCCTGTTTCTTAACCCTTTATTGACAAATATTTTAAAAAGTGTTAAAAAAATTTAAGAAAATCATTGAATCAACTCCATCACCAGATATGACCTGCTCTGAACTGATTCCTGCATATTTGGCCACAAATAGAATAATAATAATAATAATAATAATCCTTAATACCTCTCAACCTGGAGAGTCTGGCTAAGTTTGATTTGGGTGAATTTCATTCCCAATATATTTGACGTTTTTTTTTAACCGCTTCATCTTAAAAATCCTTCCATCGAAATACGACTGATTTGTGTCTGTCGGTTCATTTTATTTACATGTTAGATATATGTAGATATATTTTAAAAAAGTCTTCCATCCAGTTAAGATTCAGGAATTCAGCAGGAAGAATAATAATATAAGAATAACAATCCTCGCATTGGATACAGCGCCTTATCACGTTCTCGAGACGTCTCAAAGAGCTTCACAGGAAACGCTGTAGAGTGAATTTCCTGCGTATTTTGGGGCGAATCGCGGCAGCCAATTGCACACAGTCATTCTGGGGCGAGAGGATTGAATGAAACAAAAGGCTCTTAAATATCATAGTAGTTGGATAGCGGCCAAACACGCTGGAATCTCCTCTGAGGATAACCATCAGCTCATCCGTGGCTGTGCCCAGCGCAGTGCTACGCTAGTTGAATCAGACAGTGATTAATCCTCCAGTAAAGGATGTTAACATGAACGAACTGCAATGAACTGGTGGTTTGTCTCTGTGATATTTGCCTCTGGGATGAAAAAAACATGTAGCCGCTGTTATTCCTCGACACACATGCCTTTACGTTAAAGTTTTAAAGAAAAATCCACACCCCAAAACCAGGTGCTAAAGGCATGTTTCCATAATCTGTGCCTTTGTCTGAAGTCACCTCGTTGTCTGAGAAGGAATTAGAAAGCTTCAGGACACTCCAGTACTACCCTAGGGCTAGGATAGTGAAGGAGGAATGCACATAGCAGACCCCCTCCCCACCCCACCCAACCCCTTGCCTGATTTTCACCCCCTCTCCCCTCCCCTCCCCTCTCCCCGCCTCGCAAGAGATCCCGAGCCAAGACGGGTTATTGGCAGTGTTTGCCGACGATCTCAAGGTGTTTCACATACAGTGTCCGCCAAGCGAGAGGACCCGGGTTCGATTCCCGGGCAGGGGGCGAAACGTTGGGCAAGTTTCCTTACTCCGCACGCGCACACAGAGACACACACGCGCACACGCGCCTCTGGTTACCAGCAGCAAGTAGGAACCCGGATGTTAGTCGATTGGCGGATCGCTTTTCCGGGGGGTAATAATCCCTTCAAAAAAAATAAGAATAATAAGAATAATTTGGTCGCTCAATCCACGACTGTTTGTGGGACGCTGCCGTGCGCAATTGGCTGCCGCGTTTGGCCCACAAGATATACGTTCAGTACACGTTACAGTATATCCTGTGAAGGTCTTTGAGACGTCTCATCAACTTGCATTTCTTTGGTGCCCTTCACGCAGGAGAGCAACTTGGAGCCCTTAACAGTGGCGGAGCCTGATGCTGAGATGGGGGGAGGGGGCGGGGAGGGAGGTGATCGTAGGAACATTAAACTAACCATTTTAGTTTTATGTTTGTGTGACGACCATTGAAGAGTACATGATGTGTAGGAGCGATGGCTTTGCTGTTCTAAGGGAGTGACTGGCTCGGTGCAAATCCAATCTAAGTGACGACACACAAGTTATTTTTTTTTCGAAAATAAGCAGTGTTTGCCTCTTGTCTCTTTCCTTCTCCTGAACAGAGCAGCATTTTCCCGAGGTTATGCTGGGAGAAGAGTTTCTTAGTCTGAACCTGGATCAAGTCTGCAGTTTGATATCGAGCGACAAGCTCACTGTTGCTTCGGAAGAAAAGGTAGATATTTGCTCTTTGTGGGGCTGGAGGGTTGGGTTTGTTTGGAGACGTTCACAATGACTTACCCTTGCTCACTGCCCTCCCCCACCCCCGGCTTCAGTGGACATTCTGGGAAGAGAAACTATTTCCTCTGGTGGCTGGGGGGTGGGGAATCCAGAACAAGGGTGAAATCATCTTAAAATCAGAGCTAGGCCATTTAGGAGTGAAATCAGGAGGCATTTTTTCAACCAAAGGGGAATGGAAACCTGGAACTCTCTCTCTCTCCCTCTCTCTCTCTCCAACCAAAAGGCTGTGGGTTATGGCTGGATCTATCCATGTTACCCAGACTGAGGTGGAGAGATGTGTGTGAGGTCGGGGTATCAAGGGATATGGGGCAAAGGCGGGTAATTGGAGTTGAGGTTCAGATCAGGCGTGATCTAATTAGATCGGTGGAACAGGCTCGAGGGGCTGAATGGCCTCCTCCTATGGTTCTAGTATTTATGTACCATCCATGGGGCATTTTTTTAAAAAAAATGATGGAGAAACTTCCAAATTTCTCTGCACGGAGATTCCAAGAGTTTGTTTTTTTCCCCGACAACAACGACGGCAATTTGCACTTCTACAACGCCCTTCACTGGCGATAGCTTTTCGGCGCTTTATTCAGCAACTGAGAGGGGGAAGAGAGGATTCCAGTTGATCTGCTTAGCCTGAGGTTAGGTTGGGAGGGAGAAATCAGCCAGAGATTCCCCTGTTGTGATTGCAATTCAGTGACCCCTGGTGGCGGGTATATGTTTGTATCATAATAATAATAATAATCCTTGCATTTTGTAAAGTGCCTTTCACGTTGGGAGGACGTCCCAAAGCCCTTCACAGGATATACTGTAAAGTGAATCGACTGTATATTTTGTGGGCGCAAATTCTATTGATGAGTGCGACCATAAAACAAAATTGGGACTCCCTCTCTCTCTCCCCCCCACAAAAGGCTGTGGATTATGGCTGTGGATCCATTCACATTTTCAGCACTAAGGTGGAGAGATGTTTGTGGAGTCCTGTAGCTCAGTGGTTAGAGCACTCGCTTTGTAAGCGGGAGACCTGAGTTCAATTCCAGGCAGAGGGCGAAACCTTGGGCAAGTTTCCTTACTCCACACAGAGCCTAATAATAATCCTCCAAAAAACAAAAACAATAATAAATTGGTCATTTTCAATCTACGACTGTTTGTGGGACATTGCTGTGCGCAATTGGCTGCCGCGTTCGCCCACAAATATACAGTCAATTCACTTTACAGTGTGTTCTGTGAAGCGCTTTGGGACGTCCTCCCGACGTGAAAAGCGCTATATCAAATGCAAGGATTATTATTATTATTATTATTATTTGTTAGGGTCAGGGGATCAAGGGATACGGGGCAAAGGCGGGTAATTGGAGTTGAGGTACCTGGTCAGCCGTGATCTTATAGAGTGGCGGAACAGGCTCGAGGGCAACAGGCAACAAGTATAGTTGTACAAAACTGCAAGCCCCTTCCCCTTTCTTGAACCATATCTTCTGTGAGGGGGGAGAAGGTGTGAGCTTTAATATCTCCTTTCACATCCAAGCACAAAGCCCACTCCTTTTCAGCTCAGCATCGCAAAGATCAGAAGGTATGCTTTATTTAATGGCGTGGTCTCCGGCTCAACTGAGATCATCTGGTTTTGTCTGGAGTCTCCACTTCGTTCAGTCAGTGAGGGAAGGGAGTTCAGTGAAAATTGCTGGATTCCTTTAGCAATCGCAGGCTTTGTTAATGCAACAGCTAAATCCAGTTTGAAAGCACCTATTTTGCCCAGACCCTGCACAAATACTCTTTGGAGAATGCAGTCGGCTGTTCAGCCCCGTGAAACACGAGCCCCTGATTATTTTCTGTCATCCAACACTCTGGGTTCCTGACGCTAACACAGGGAGGATTATAAATAAATGGGGCCCAACAGCCAAACATCGACAAGACAGCCACACAGACAGACACACACACACACACACACAGAGAGACAGACGCACAGATGATGGTGAGACTGTAGATTCGGGGCACAGGTTCAATTCCTGACATTTATGCAACTTGGTCGCGTAAAACCTGAGTATTAAAAGGTATTTAACCCTTAAAGTAATGGGCTGTGTTTGTGGAGCCATTGTGCAGAGTTGGGCTCATTAATAATTCACCTTCCAGCAGCTGAGCATTTCCCAGAATTGCCACGTTTCAAGCATGGATTGCAAGTTGATCCAATCTCAATTTTACTTTCACCCCCTCATGTCACGAGTCAGCCACTGCTCACTTATCTATCCACGTAAGGGGTAACGTTTGCTGAGGAATCGCTTAATTTCATATACCCACTAATAGTCATAATAACAATAATAATCCTGGCATTTGACATAGCGCCTCATCGTGTCTTCGAGACGTCGCCTCTTGTTTCTAAAATGGCTGACGGAGGGCCCAGCTCATGGTGGGACGAGACTTTTCTGGTAGAAAGTGCCAGGCCAAAGAATCAGTATCAATAACTCTCGTTTGTAAAACGTAAGATTTTGAATCAGATTTACAACGAGACTTGGAGTCTCTATTTATCGAGAAAGGTCATGTGCAAATCAGCAGGATTTATGTGCGTCAGCCCGTACATTTCCATACCCCTAACCTGATTTGCATCTGTAATAAAAGACTATTACATTGTTGAGGGATTGAAGTGTGAGCAACTGGTTTGATCTCCTTTGAGTTTTAAGGGCACAAATGTTCTTGTGTTGCCAATTAGCATCGCAAAGCAATTCCAATAGTAATAAGTGGCGCAGTACATTTCCGAGTTTAACATTTCCAACGACTGCACAGCTTGTGAAAAGAAAAGGACGTAAGAATTTGCTGGCGAGATAAGACCAAGGTCCATCTAGTTTGCCTTCCACCAGCCTGGCAGTAGCTTGACGTAGATTGGTTCTGAATTCCTCCCCCAACCCGCCCAACCCCACCTTGAAAAGGTTGAATTCTGTGCGCACGTTGTTTAGGATCAGTGACTTACTCCCTTCAGCACAGCACAAGAGTGCTTCTCGGACCTGCTAATATTTCCTGGCATCGTGTTCAAAGATTCCAGTTGGTATGGTGAGGACTCCCTGACCTAAGCCAATCTGCTGATCAGATTGTCGGGTTGTGCCGTTCGTAACAATATAATAAAAATCCTTGCATTTGACCCTTGCATCCTTGCATTTGCCTCATCACGTCTTCGAGACGTCTCAAAGCGCTTCACAAATGAATTTTGACTGTAAAGTGCCAACGCCATATCAACCAGTCCGCTCCCTCCGCTCAACAGGCTCCAGCTTGCTCCCCGGCCCCCGCCCTTTGGAACTCCATCCCACAGTCCCTTTGCCTCGCTGCTTTAACCCGGCTAGCACTCGCCTTTGGAAGGTCATATATAGTGTGAGTGAATGAGTGCGTAAGTGGCTGGTGTTTAGCAGGAAGGTTTTATGATTAACTAAGAAGTGGCTTGTGTGATTTACCTTGGTTTACCTCCATTTGCTTTGGGCAGGGCAGTAAAACCAAGCTGTGGGTCGTGCCACAGCTCTGAGCTTTGCTGCATCTCATGTGTATGGTGTCACGTTCAAGGGCATCGCTGAGGCAACTGATCACACTGTTGTCCCATTAGCACCGCAGTTACGAGCTTTAAGAGCAGATGACCTTCATCTCCAACGCCATTTACAAATAAAAAAACAAGTTGGGCCGCATTAATTAACAATCCCCAGTGACAACCATTTCAAAAGTTTGATTAGATCTTTGGTGGCGCAATTTGTTAAGCGCAAACCTACAAACGGCTGAAATGCGTTGGGGTTTATTTCTTAAATCAGCATTTTAGACGTTGAAAATGTTTCCAAACTTTTTAAACCTGTTCCCAGAGATGTGGATTTTACCTATTGAATAATAATAGTAATAATAATCCTCGTATTGGAATATAGCGCCTTAACAAATTAAACTTCAGTGGTTTTGAGGTGTACAGTAATGTTAAGATTGGGTGTGGCTGTGTGTGGTGTGTGTGTGTGGGTGGGTGTGTGTGCGGGTGTGTGTGTGTGCGGGTGTGTGTGTGGGTGTCTCTCTCTCTCTTCTGATCACAGATGTTCCAAATAGGGAAATGATTCTCAAACCTATCAGAATATCTACCAGAGCCTCTTTGCGAAGGGCTTTTGTTCACGATGATGGAACATTGGCGAGCCCACTTCCTATTGTACAAATATAGATTTTAATGTAATTTGCCACTTTCCGCAGTAAATACCGTGGAGCAAAATTATCTTATAAGTGGAATCTTTGCGAGTGTCAGCGCTGCTAGAACTTGTGGTTCAGAAGCTGTGAAGGAAACAGTCCAAGTTCTCGGCCTGAGGAGATAAAATGGAGGTTTTAGGCAAAGTTGAGCTGATTGCTTCCTTTCACTTTCTTCACTGAATGAACACTGAATACTAACGACAGCCCGGCCTGGCTCATCCATCGGCAGGACCTGGAAGGGCAGACCAGTCACTGGGGTCAGGGAATCCTCCCACTCAGCTCCTATTAACCCTGTAAAGCCAAAGCTCTGATAACTACCACATCATCTACGCCCAGACACACCTTTTCTCTCTCTGGGCGGCCTGTTATGTTGCAGTCCCCCCTTTGGTTTGCATTATTAACACCTCTTTAACCCATCATCCCCTGTCCTCTACCCCATTTTCTCCTTTGTCTTCCTTGCCTCCCCCCTCTCTGTTGGTCCTTAAAAGCCTCTCCCTCCCAACCTGCCCCAGTTCTGATGGAGGCTCGTGGACCCAAAACGTTGACTCACTTTCCTTTCTCCATGGATGCTGCCTGACCTGCTGAGTGTTCCCAGTCACTTCTGCTTTTGCCCTAACGGCTAGGGTGGTCTTAGCTGGACAAAGAGCGGGAAAGCTTGCCATACAGCGCTATCAATGGCAACCTATGTGGTAGTAGCTGGTTAGACTCCAGCAGTTACCCCATCGCACACTCTGGGGGCAACCTACGCCTGATACTCTCCAGAATTAGGTAAGCAAGGGGCGTCCCTCCAGGGAGAGAGAGAGAGCGAGAGAGAGAGAGATGCTCATTCCATTCCAACGATCTGTCTCTGGGATTTCCATGTGTAGGTGGGATGCATAGAATCCTCTGTGCTTAATGAATCTCCAGACTAATCTTGGAGACTAATTAAGTGCAGTGATGGGTTCCGTATTTGTCAGACACCCACCCGGCTGATCCCCCCCCCATTCCCCCCCCAAAAAAAAACTAACAAAAAAGAAAACAAAAACATTCTTCGGACTCACTGTTGTCGTGTTGTTGCTTATAGGTGTTTGAAGCCGTCATCTCTTGGATCAAGTACGACAAAGAAGCTCGTCTGGAATACATGGCCAAACTGATGGAACATGTCCGCCTGCCCCTGCTTCCTCGAGAGTATCTGGTACAGGTCAGCAGCAGCCCCCGTGCCAGTGTGGCCCTCACTGACCCCTCGGCTCACACCAGGGCTCTGTCTGGCCGACGAGGTGTCTTGTTGCGCAGGAAGAACAAACCACCATTTTAATTCAATCCACAGCTGTTTGTGGGGGACGTCACTGTGCGCAATCGGCTGCCGCGTTTACGCCCACAAAATACACAGTCAATTCAACTTCACAGCGTGTCCTGTGAAGCGCTTTGAGACGTCTCGAAGACGTGATAAGGCGCCGCATCAAATGCAATTATTATTATTATTATTATTAAATCAAAACAGAGGTGGCTGGGAACACGCAGCAGGTCAGGCAGCACCGATGGAGAGAGAGAGAGGAAAGTGAGTTAACGTTTCAGGTCGATGGATCATGAACCCGGTTGCTGAGTGTTCCCAGCGACTTCTGTTTTTATTTCAGGTTTCCGGCGTCTGCAGTGTTTTGCCTTTTGAAACCATGTTGTTATACAGGCCGACCGCAACAGCGTGAAGCTACCCTATTATCTAAAACCCAAACCCAAAAGATCATCATTGCTTTGAGACTTATCGGGGTTATAACGGCATCACGACTGTTTGGTCACCCTGTAGAACGGCTCGAGGGGCTGAATGGCCAACTCCTGTTCCTGTGTTTCAAACAGCCATTTGAAACGCAACCGAAACCCCATTCAGTTCAGGTTGAAAATGTCATCCAACGCAAAAATCTTTTGACGGCCTTTTGTTGTTTCTTTTTTAACAGTTTGCACAAAATCTCATTTCAGGAAATCTGCGTTTTTTTTTTAAAAAAAAGCTTACCACACATCTGTGGGCGTTTGCCCACAAATATACAGTCAATTCACTTTCCAGTGTGTTCTGTGAAGCGCTTTGGGACGTCCTCCCGACGTGAAAAGCGCTATATCAAATGCGAGGATTATTATTATTATCTGTCAACTGATCAAACAAATAAGGATCTTTTCCTTCAGTTAAAGATAAAACTCTGGTGGCTCAGGCTTAGTTGAGGAAAAGCTACCGATTGGAATGAAACATTAGAGAATCATAGAATCTTACAGCACAGAAGGAGGCCATTCGGCCCATCTTTGGAAGAGCCGCCCAACCAGTCCCACTCCCCCACTCTTTCCGCTTATCCTTGCGAAATGTTTCCTCTTCAAGTACCTATCCAATTCCCTTTTGAAAGTTGTTTTTGAACCTGTTTCCGCCAGCCTTTCAGGCAGTGCCTTCCAGACCGTAACAACGCTGAACGCAAGGACTGTTAATGTTGATAAAAATGTTTAGCTTTTCAGTGTAGCGTTGGGTACAAACATTAGAGCTAAGAGTGAGGCACCATCAGAGAAGGTTTACAAACTGCTCTGGTTTGCACTGTTACCGACACAAAGTACTGCTGTGATTCCTGATGTGCTTTGAATGTTGCAGTAGCCCCAGTGGTGTCTGTTCCTGGTGTGACTGACCCGCTGTGTCCCTCTGCTCTCTGTCCGCAGACGGTGGAAGAAGAGACTCTGATAAAGAACAATAACACCTGCAAAGATTTCCTGATCGAAGCCATGAAATACCATTTGCTTCCTATCGATCAGCGCGCTGCAATAAAGACGGCACGCACAAAGCCCAGGACTCCCATCAGCTTACCCAAGGTTAGAGGAGAGAAAGAGAGAGAGAGAGAGAGAGGAGGTTGCATTTAAACAGTAAGAAGATGGTTCCTGTTGAGCCGATGTGTGGATATTTCTTGCTTCAACCGTCTCCCTAGGAAGCCTGCTCCACAGGAACGTGTCTGTAAACCCCCCCCTGGTTGTTGATAGGGGAATGTGGAAGGTGTTGGGCAGGGCTGTCGCATGATCCAAGTCACAAACACGAGACGGGAGCAATCATTGGACTTTGCTTCCGAAAAAAGACTCCAAAAATATTGCCGGAGCCTTTAAGTTTATTTTAAGTTTAAAACCCGCGACCAAGAGAGGCCTCGCGTCCGCGCTGTTAATGAGCGGGTGGATTTGGTGGTGTAACACGAGCTGCTCTCGATTACAGGTGATGATCGTGGTGGGTGGTCAGGCCCCCAAAGCCATTCGAGGTGTTGAGTGCTACGACTTTAAAGCAGATCATTGGAATCAGGTGGCAGAGCTGCCCTCCAGGAGATGCAGAGCAGGTAAATCCACCCCCTTGTTGATCGCACCGTCTATTATAACAACAATAATAATAATAATAAGCATTGCATTTGATACAGTGCCTTATCACGTCTTCGAGACGTCTCAAAGCGATTCACAGGATAGTGGAGTGACTGTGTATTTTGTGGGCGCACATCGGTGTCCCGCAAACAGTCGTGGGTGCCCCACAAAACACACAGTCACTATACTTTATTCCGCAAAGCGCTTTGAGATGCCTGGAAGACATGATAAGTAAGGCGCTGTATCAAATGCAAGGATTATTATTAAAGCCTGGAAGGAAGATTGCGATTTTTAGCGATTGGTGTCTGATAGAGACCCCATGAGTAGGTTTCTACTGCTGTAATCTTCCATGTTCCCCACTGAGGGACCATCTATAGTTCCCTTCCCTTTGAGTCACTCTCCCCCGAGGATTACTCTCCCTCATGACCCTCCCTCCCAAGTGACGCCTGTTTCTATGAAGCTCACATCATGCAGGACTTGGCAGCTGGCAGTGCACAGACTCTGGGTTGATTAATAATAATAATAATAATAATAACAACAATAGTAATCCTTACATTTGTTATTGCGCCTTTCACGTCGGGAGAACGTCTCAAAGCTCCTCACAGGATATTCTATAAAGTGGAGTGACCACATATTTTGTAGGTGGATGTGGCAGCCACATTGCACACAGCAACGTCCCACAAACACTTGGCCAGGATATTGGCTCCGATGTCCTCAATCCACTGAGTTCCCCAGGCCCCAGAGCTTGGATGAATTAAAAAAAAAAATTCAGACAAGATCTTGGCTTAGGGTCTCACCTGACTATCTCACCACCTCCAAAACTTACGCTGGAGTCTCAGCCGAGGCTGTGACCTCAAAATCCTGACATGGAACTTAAACCCATAAATTTCTGACCTTCTGAGACAGAGGCGAGAGTGTGTGCGAGTGATACCCACTGAGCCAAGCTGAGACTTGTTGGAAGAGTGTGATGGGAATGCAGGAGTGAGTGGGTCAGGAGATGCGGAGGAGGGCTGTGAATTTCGATACTGAAAGTATGTGAGATGAATGTGACTCACCAGATAGTGGTGATCAGGTTATGTGGTTTCTCCGAATGACTGGTTCCTGATCCTGGAAGAATGCAGTTGGTTGAAAGAGATGTGGGTTGAGCTGGTTAGACTCCAACAGTTACCCCAAACCACACTCTGGGGTCCCCAAGCCTGGGCTCCTGCCAACCTGCGCCTCATACTTTCCGGAATTACGTAAGCAGGATGCATCCCTGGAGGATGCACAAAGCACACAGTCACTCCACTTTGCAGTGTGAAGCGCTTTGAGACGTCTCAATGACGTGATAAGGCGCTGTATCGAATGCAAGGATTATATATTATTATTAATTGTTATTATTAAAGCCTGCCTTAGACTCTGTTATCTTTCTCTCCAGCCCCCGTACCTACCCCTCCAGCTCCGTAAAGTACTTTGAGATGCTCCCCGCCCCCCCCCCCCCCCCACCACCCCCCGATGTCCAGCGCCTTGGGACGTCCTCCCGCCGTGACGGGCCCTGTACGCACGTCGCCGCTGCTGTTGCGGTTGTTGTTACAGCAGTCGTATCAATGTAAAATCGTATTGCACTGTAAAATCCGTGTTCAAAATAAAATGCACCCACAGATCGGGGACGCGGCGGGGTCTGATCCCGGCTCCGTGTCACATTGGGGCCCCACCGTTAGCCTCAGGGTCCCGTCTTGTGGAAGGGAAACAGTCACCAGGTTTCCTGGGGTTGACGGCCACCTACTGCCCCCTGCTGGACATCTTGTGAGGTGCTCTGTGCCGCACGGACTCGGGGCTTTGTTCCCCGATCTCACTGCCGTGCAACTTGCGTTCGCGTTCCTCAGTCGGAGACGTGGTTCACTTCGGTGGTTCGTCCGACTGTTCGTGGGGACGCCGCTGCGCGCAATCGGCTGCCGCCTTTTGCCCGCAGAAACACGCCGTCGACTCGCTTTGCGGTATATTCTGTGAAACGCTTTGGGACGTCTCGAAGACGTGATAAGGCGCTGCATCAAATACAAGGATTATTATTATTATTATTTAAAGAGGTGTAGCCTGTTCATAGTCCGGGCTGATGCTCCAGTACAATTGTGCTGCTATAGGTAACGTTCTTCCGACCAGATGTGGAACTGACTATTAAACCCGTTGTTAAGTCTGGTCCAAGTGGTCTTTGAGGCACTGTTCGGAAAGAGAAAATAACCCAAAAATGCTCGTTTATAGAAACACAAATAGACTCGTGACAAGAAAGGGTTAATCATGCTGAACGCAAGTCTGCTTGCTCTTGGGTTGTGTAATTGCCTGCCAGTCCCCTGTATCCTTGCGTTCAGACATGGTTTACACATAGTGCACAAGAGATCCCTGTGTTACAGTGGGTGGGAGATGCGGCAGATACCACAGAAACCATTCCCGTGGATCAGAGTCTGCTAATCGTCACGGCTGAGGGTAATTGATGTTTAACGTTGGATAAGGAGCCACTTGTGTCTGTGTGAGTGTGTGTGTGTGAGTAATGTCTGTGTGTGTGTGTCTGTGTGTGAGTAATGTCTGTGTGTAAGTAGTGTCTGTGTGTGAGTGTTGGACTTAAACTTTAAATGCTAAATGTCAGCAGCAGGTTCCTGACACCTACACTGCCCTTTAACAAGAGAGTGCGTCACTTCAGGAGTGCAAATTATAGCCTTGTCCTCGTGCTCATGTTGCTCAGTGCACAATGTACTTTCCTGCAGCTGGAAATGTGGGACTACTTATCATAATGAATTTAAACTAATAAATGATTAAGGGCACATTGGGAGCGTGGGGGGGAGGGCCTTATATAATAATAATAATAATAATCCTTGCATTTCATATAGAGCTTTATCGCGTCATCGAGACGTCTCAAAGCGCTTCACAGGATATACTGTAAAGTGAATTGACTGTATATTTTGTGGGCGAAATGCGGAAGCCGACTGCGCACAGCAGCGTCCCCACAAACAGCCGTGGATTGAGAATGACCAAATTATTATCTGTTTTTGGTTGTGATGGTTAGATTATTACCCCCTGGAAAGCGATCTGCCAATTGCTAAGTAAACAGAGGCGTCTGGAGTAAGGTTGAAAATCTAATCAAATGCCAGGATATTTGACGGGGTATTGACTGTACTGTTTCTCTCTCCCCGCCCCCACCACTCTCTCTCTTTCTCGCTCTCTCTGCAGGGGTTGTGTATATGAGCGGGCATGTTTATGCCGTCGGTGGTTTCAACGGATCACTGAGAGTGCGAACCGTGGATGTTTACGATGCAGTTAAAGACCAGTGGTTAGCTATCGCCAGTATGCAGGAGAGACGCAGCACTCTGGGAGCAGCTGTGCTGAATGAACTGCTCTACGCAGTGGGTGGATTTGATGGGAGCACAGGTACCCAGCGTTCTCCATTAAATGCCTTTATCATCACCATCGGCCTCTGCCGCTCCTTAAAATGATGACCTTAAAAATAATAATAATGATTTGGTCACTTCGATCCACGGCTGTTTGTGGGGACGCTGCTGTGAGCAAATCGGCTGCCGCGTTTCGCCCACAAAACACACAGTCAATTCGCTTTACGGTATATTCTGTGAAGCGCTTTGAGACGTCCACAAGACAAAATCTCGTGGAGTGCTTTGAGACATCCTCCCGACGTGAAAGGATTATATCACATGGAAGAGTTATTATTATTATTATTTATTATTATTATTTAAGTTCCTGAGTTGAATGAGGAGCCACCAAAATAAACCACCCAAATGATGTAAAAACCTTACAGTATTTTTACTCATTCTTGAAGGTCGTTGAGTTAGGACATGCTTTGGCGTTGCATCCTCAGGTTGCCCCCTGCAGAGTGATACTATTTATTGATGGTTATCTTAAACTACATCTGTTTAGAGTTAGAAATGTGTGAAGTTGATAGTGATGTTAATCAGTGGAAATAATCCCCAGCTGGACACCAGGACAATCATACGATTACTTTATTATTACAGTAGAAAGCACTTGTAGCAAAGAGACTTCTGTACAGTGCGAAGTGTTGTCTTGGGTGTCTGTTTGCCTTTGTGTGAAAAATAAAAGATTTGCATGTTTCTTTCGCACAGACAAGGATTGGCTGCAGAATCTGGTCCCATCGTCTCTGAACAATACAGTCTTTTACTGAGATACAAATCCATTTCCTATTCAGTGTGAAACGTTTCTGTAATGGGAACAAACACAGTGAACGAGCTTTAAAGCAAAGAGCTCTCCATCTCCTGAGTAATGCCTGTATCACCGATGTGACCGCCCTCCTCTCTCTCTCTCTCTCTTGCTCTCTTTCTGTCTTTCTCTCCATTGCGCCCACAAAATATACAGTCAATTCACTTTACTTTACAGTGTATCCTGTGAAGCGCTTTGAGACGTCTTGAAGACGTGATAAGGCACTGTATCAAAATGCAAGGATTATTATCACGTCTTTGAGATGTCTCAAAGCGCTTCACAAAATATTCTGTAAAGTGAATTGACTGTATAGTCTGTGGGTGAAACGTGGCAGCCAAGTGAGCACAGCAGTGACCCACAAACAGTCGTGGATTGAGTGACCAATTTATTATTGTTTATTTATTATTGTGACGTATGAAATATTCATGTGTTTCTCCGTTAAACAGGATTATCATCAGTCGAGGCTTATAACTACAAAACCAACGACTGGTTCTTTGTGGCCCCGATGAATACACGGAGGAGCAGTGTTGGTGTTGGGGTTGTGGATGGTAAGAGGAAAAGTTGCCGAATGTTTTAACTGAAGCTTTTTGAGATAAAAACGGAAGTGGCTGTCAACGCGCAGCAGGTCAGGCAGCATCTACGGAGAGAGGAAAGTGCGGTAACTACTGGGAGACGTTGGAAGGGATGTCCAAACGGCCTCCAACATCCCCCAGTTCTGACGAAAGGTCATCGACCTGAAACGTTAACCCATTTCCCTCTCTCTCGCCATCGGTGCTGCCTGAGCTGCTGAGCGTTCACAGCGACTTCTGTTTTTATCTCAGATTTCCAGCATTTGCCTAAAGCTGTTTGAGACGGGCTGTTACCCCCTAAGCAAAACACAGGAGACACTCACATCAACAGCTTTGTGCCTCCTGTTCAGGCCCAATGGCTCATGATACTGCTTTGAGGGGTGGGTGGGGTGGGGCTCAACCTGATATTTTCTGAGCTCCGAGACACTCCATCCTTTATATAAATGCAAGTTGTCGTTGTTGTAAGGATCGAGGAAGAAAAGAGTAACAATTCCTGGAGCACCAATTCCTACTCTTGATTTGTACAGACGTCTTGTAACAAATTTGGAATATCTCTTCATTAAAAACAACAAAAGTAATCTTTACAAAAACTGAGCTCGTGTTGGGGAAGAAAAAGGGGAATTAACTGCACAGCACATTTTACGGCGCTTTTATTTAAACGTGGATTTCTTTACCCTGTTTTAGGGGCCCTATTCTCCTAACGTCTCGGAAGTCGCCGTGAGGACTTTTCCCTTGTCCCTGTGCATGTTGAGTGTGTTTCTGGTTGATGATGTTTCCGAGTGTTTTCTGACTGGCATGATCACACAGGAAAGCTCAAACTCTCCTTCACAACGGTGTGGAATGCTATACACCCTCTGAGAGGCGACCCCGTGTGAAAGGACGCTATATAAGTGCAAGTTGTTGTTGTTGTTGAAGTGTTGTGTGTTTTTGCCGCAGCAATAATATAAAACACGAGTTTGACGATAATTCGTGTTAGACCTGAGCGGAGTATTTGTGGTTTGCACCAGCATGTCTGAATGAGAGCCTTTCCTGATGCTGTGACACTTGTTTGGGTTTGTTCCGCTCATTGAAGCACCGAATAATTTTCCTCAATTCGCCCCTAAAATATACAGTCGATTCACTTTGCACTATATTCTGCGAAGCGCTTTGAGACGTTTCAACGATATGGAGTCCTGTAGCTCAGCGGTTAGAGCACTCGCCTCGCAAGCGAGAGGAGCTGGGTTTGATTCCCGGGCGGGAGGGCGAAACGTTGGGCAAGTTTCCTTACTCCACACGTCTCTGTCCACCCAGCAGTAAATAGGAACCCGGTTGTTTGTCAATTGGTGGATCGCTTTTCCTGGGGTAATAATTCCTTCAAAAAAAAATAATATGATCGCTCAATCCACGACTGTTTGTGGGACACTGCTGCGCGCAATTGGCTGTGTATCCTGTGAAGCGCTTTGAGACGTCTCAAGGACGTGATAAGGCGCTATATCAAATGCAAGGATTATTGTTGTTATTATTTTTATTATTCTAATGGAACAGGCTCCCTGGGGAGACAGACAAGACGGTGGAAGCAGAAAATGTTGTTTGTTTCAAGAACAAATTCGCTAGATTTCTGCTAGAAAATAATACCTGGGGGATACAGCGTATAGTCTGGGACACGACATGTCAAGTGACTGCCAGGACGGTGGAAGGAGAACTAGATGGACCTCGGTCTACTTTCGCCAGGAAATTCTTACGTTCTTTTTCTCCTAACGCAAAGCAAATGGCAGATGTTGAGCACGTTCACTACTGGCAAAGTAAAACGAGTAATGGTGTTGTGTTTGACGGTATCCAAGTGCTCTGAGTCCCCACTCCACGCGAAGGGCCTGTTATAAACACAAGTTGTGGTGGTGGTGGTGGTTGTACAGATTGTTGATGGATGCTGTGTCTCCCTCAGGCAGGTTGTATGCAGTAGGTGGCTATGATGGAGCTTCACGACAATGTCTGAGCACCGTCGAAGCCTACAACCCCGTCAGCAACGAGTGGACGTACGTCTCGGACATGAGCACCCGTCGCAGTGGAGCAGGTCGGGTTGCTTTTGCTGTGGAGACCTCTCGTCGAAAACCCTTGTTAAAAACCCTCTTCGTATCCGTTTCCTTTTTAAAGACCGGCCGCAGGTTTTTGTTTCATTGCCAAAACCTCGCTTCAGTGTTAAGAGTGTATTTGCCTGTGTATCTTGTTGTTGTTGTTGTTGTATGTAGTTTTCGCCCACAAAATACACAGTCAATTCACTGCGCGGCGTATCCTGTGAAGCGCTTTGAGGCGTCTCGAAGACGTGATAGTCGCTGTATCAAATGCAAGGATTATTATTCTAATTATTATTACGATATTACGGAAAGTATAAAAGTGGATGTAGGGATGAGGATAGGATTGGACTTAAGCCCCAACGTTAAATTTTCTCCCTGAAAGTGCTGCCCAATCGCAGATCTGAAGGTTGCCCTCGTATTCAACAAACAAATGGAAATGTTTCCATCGTCTCTATTTATACGCTTGGAATTACTCTCCGCTCTGCTTGACAAACTGCCCAACTCTTCCCTTCACATAGAGCTGGACTGTCCAGAACTTTTGCAGCTCGTGTCCTTTCCCAAGGTGAACGGCTCTTATGATGTTGTTGTTGTTGTTGTTGTGCAGGGGTGGGTGTGTTGAATGGCCAGCTGTACGCAACAGGCGGCCACGATGGACCTTTGGTGAGGAAGAGTGTTGAGGTGTATGAGCCGTCCTCCAACGCTTGGAGACAGGTGGCGGATATGAACATGTGTCGGAGGAATGCTGGTAAGCGCTCTGGGACGCCGCCCCGCGTGAAGGGCGCTGTAGACGTGTAAGTTTTGTTGTTGACTGACACTGACGGCAATACGTTTGCGCTGCTCTTGTCCTGCAGGCGTGTGTTCTGTCAACGGACTTCTGTACGTAGTCGGAGGGGATGACGGCTCCTGTAATCTGGCTTCTGTGGAGTTCTACAATCCTGTCACCGACAAGTGGGCGCTGCTACCAACCAATATGAGCACTGGGAGAAGCTACGCAGGTAAAGCCTGGGCCGAACATGTGCAACCGTCGATTTGATGCCAAACCCTCGACCGTCTTCGAGACGTCTCAAAAGCGCTTCACAGGATACACTGTAAAGTGGAGTGACTGTGGAGTTTGTGGGTGAAACAAACCAATAATTTAACCAGCTAAACCCCACGTAGCTTGCTGTTGAGAGCGCTTGTCTGGCAAGCTTCCTGCCCCCACCAGTTACTGTTTTATTTTGTATGGATAGTTTTCCTTTTGATTTATACATAAAAACCTTTGCCCAGGACTGCAATTACAATTGCAGTTTGTCCTTCAATTTGTCTGCTCTGATGACGGTTTTGGGGAGATGGGTGACACTTTTATCAGCTGTTACTCTAAACCTCCACAACTAAACCTTTGAATCCGTCTGCAATAACACATGTTCCATTCACATTCGGCTCTGAATCGGTGCCAGGTTCCTGAGCTCAGGATACAGAGTGGTCCCTGTTTGCTCTCCCCATTCACACCCGCACAGCTGCCCTGCCCGTGTGCCAGAACACGCCTGGACTAAACTCATCATGTACTGCAAACACCGTGACAGAAACGACTCCACCTTCAGGCGATCAAAGACTGGGATACTGCGCTGGCTTCAGGCCAATTGCAATGTTTCTCTGAGGCACTTTGTTACCAGGCTGTTTAGAAGGCAAGACCTTTATGTTTGCAGTAAGATTGCACAAGCAAATAATTAAAATCAGACTAATTATACAACCCCCCCTTCCCCTCAAATTCTAGTAATAATTGATAATTATTAATAATTCATAATTTTGCCCACAAAACACACAGCTACTACACTTTACAATATATCCCGTGAAGCGCTTTGAGACGTCTTGAAGGTGTGATAAGGCACTGCATCGAATGCAAGGACTACCGTTATTCTAAGTGAACCTGTGTGTGTTTTTCTTGCTCCTGTTAGGCGTTGCAGTGATCGACAAACCACTATGACCAGACACATCAGCTACAGATGGACATTAATCTGCAGCGAAAAACCGTCGAGCATTCATTCTGCTGAAGGTCGACCCTAGGTTTTTAATTATTTATACTCCTCGACTGCAAGGCTATTGGGGAGAGTTAACAGCTCGGCAGTTACCCTGCCGGATTGATACCGGCACTACCACATGCATTTTTTTATATGTATATATAAAAAAAGACAGAGAGAGAGAGAGAAAAAAAAAATCAAGCACTAATTGAAGAGTATATGAGGATGAGGAAAGGCTCTCTTGTTCACTGAGAGTGAGGCAGGACCATCAGAGAGAGAGAGAGAGAGAGAGAGAGCAGGCGATGGAGGGGTGTATGTCGGAGCTGGTTCTTGCCCAGGAATCTGACACGCCAGTTATTATTGAGTGGCAACCATCACCGACTGAAAAGAGAGAGCGAGAGAAAGAGAGAGACCGAGCGAATGTGAATTACCGCTGTTACATATCAGATCGACGCACACGGTGGTGTATCTGCTGAAGTCCAGCGAGCTGCCGTGTTCATAGCACAATTCCTTTCGGGAACATCAGACAGCGTGGCTGGCTGGCTGGCTGGCTGGCTCGCTACCCGGTCAGCCGGTGTGTGAGGGGTAGCCAGCACGTACACACGCATGCCTTCTCCGTGACGAATGGACGGGAAAGTCACTCGTCATCATGTACGTGTTCAGATAAGCTGCTGGAGGGCGTGTGTAAAAAGTCACCTCTTGTCTACCGAGCCCGTGGCTGGCTGCTGTCTGGCTCTGGCTGTCTGTTGCTCTTTATTTTAACAGACGGGCAGGAATTTCCAGTTGCAAACACTTCTTGCGGTAGGTGCTGCAACCATTCCTTTTCGTGTAGTTCGAGGTTCCTGGTCCTCAGCACACGGCAGCCTCATTTCTACAGTGATATCAGCTCGATTCACAGCAAAGCAGAACCTCACCAGAACGCCTTGGCTTCTCACCGAGGATTGAAGCATTGCCGTTCATTAATTGCCATCGACTGACTCGACCAATTGATTGGCCGCCTCGACAAGTCAGCGTTTCTCGCTCCTTTTTTATGTAAACTAAAATTTTCCGACTGAACCTCAAAAACGACCCCCACCCTTTTCAAGGGTCGTTCACCTGAGACGGATCTGACCGGCAAGTGTTTGCTCTGCATTTGATGTGCAGGAAGTTGAGATCAACTGGATTATTAACAATAATAATACTAATTCTAATAATCATCGCATTTGATACAGCGCCTTATCACGTCGTCGAGACGTCTCAAAGCGCTTCGCGGGTTACACCGTAACGTGTAGCGACTGTGTGTTTTGTGGCCCAAACGTGGCAGTCAATTGCGCCCAGCGACGTCCTGGAGAAACTAGGATTTTTTTTAAAAAAAACTTTTAAACTGAAACAGTACTGTGTCCTGTGAGGGATTAAGATAACATACTCTCGTGTTAACATGAAAAAGACCTTCCTCTTGAGGTTGAGTTTCCATCAATCCTTCCTCCTAAATGCTTCAGGGGGACATGGCGCTGACTGGTGTTTAACTTGAAAGCTGACGAAACACTGGATCGCTCGTCAACTCACCAGATGGCAATTTCGACAAAAGAGCGAAGTGCCGCAGGATGCGGAGAGGCTTTTTTTTAATGTATAAAAAAAAATCCCCAAAAAGGTTAAAAATATTTTACTACCGCATTCGTTCAACTAAGTTCTGGCGGCAGATTTTCTTCTTCGACCCGTCTGAAGGTGGGGTTGAAGTGGAAGATTATCTCAGTGGGGCTGACAGTCCGCTCCCATTTCCTGTTTGCAGGCGGAATTGCACATTCCATCCCAACAATCTATCTCTTATGGGATTTCCACGTGTGTGTTGGGTGGGGGTGGGTGGGTGGGTGGGTGGGGAGGGGGGGCAAGGAATTCTCAGCTTGGTTTGGAGACTGTTAAGCACGGAGACGGGTGTCTGTCCCACCCTCACCTCACCCCAAACAATTAATTAGTGAATGAGATTCTAAGACTGGTAAATAGAATATTAGATTGGAGGGTAAGTAAAGCTTTTGCTGATTATCAGCTTGTCCTTCTGAAACACCACTGCTCTAAGTTTTTCTTGCTGCTTTTCTGGGCACGATTTGGAATTTCCCGCCTCTTCTTTTGACCTCCTTTTGCCAAGCAAACGATGTAATAATAATGCTAATCCTTGCATTTGATACAGCGCCTTATCGCGTCTTTGGGACGTCTCGAAGCGCTTCGCAGGATGCACTGCAAAGTGAATTGACCGTATATTTTGTGGGCAGAACACGGCAGCCAACTGTACCAGCCAAACTCTCTTCTGCTACTTATTTTTAATCAACTGTTTCTTCTTCCAGTTTCTCACCCGTCTTCACTCTTTTTGCTTCATTTCCCACTGACTTCGCACTGAGGCCCTGTGTTGGGTCTCCGTTGCTCTGTGTGAGCCTGGGTTTCCTTTGATTTACTGTGTGCAGGTAACCCGAGTCAGTGGGTAAGATGTGCAGGTCTTTATCAGTTCTTTCTCTCTCCCGTGGTATCTGTTCCCAGCCTCGATCTCCTTATTTATTGTCTTTTCAATTTCACGCTTCTGATTTGTTTGCCGCATTGTTGCATCCCTTTGGAGAAAAACAATCTCTGCCACAGGGTGACCCAAACGTTGTGATAATCTGCCTTATTATCTAAAAAAAACCTACCATCATTTCTTCAAGGCTTATTAGACATTGCCATGGTGTCACGACTATTTGGTTACGTCTGTGGAGCCATCAAACACTGCTAATTTGTAATAAAAACACACGTCGCTGGGAGCACTCAGCAGGTCGGGCAGCATCTACGGAGAGAGGAAAGCGAGTTAACGTTTCAGGTTGATGACCTTTCGTTTGCTTTGAACGGGACTTGTTCCTATCGTTCCTTCTCATTGTAGTTGAAAGATCGTTCGGAAAGTTTTTTTTTCCACGTTTAATGAACACGTGGGTTTTGGTCAGTGAAAGCCATTCGATTCTTTTAAAAAAAAACTTTTTCAACTCAAATTTAGTTTTTAAAATCTGAATTCACTGATTTTTTTTTGGGGTGCGGTGGGGGTGTTGGGGCGTTGGGGGGGAACATTTGTATTTGTCTCAGGCGAAGTCATCTCCAAACATTCTTGCAAGAAGCAACTTTGCCAGATCTTGAGGATTTCTGAAACTAGCGTTGTAGGCTCAGTGTCGTGCTCCACCACTGTCAGGTGCTCTGGGGCGCTGTCCTGAGTGAAGGACGCTGTGCAAATGCAGGTTGTTGTTGTTGTTGTTGCCGCCTGACAGGTTTCAGTGTTAAACAAAAGGCAAAATACTGTAGATGCTGGAAACCTGGGATAACTAACAGAAGTGGCCGGGAACACTCGGCAGATCAGGCAGCATCTACGGAGAGAGGAAAGTGAGCTCTTCTCTCCATAGATGCTGCCTGACCTGCTGCGTGTTTCCAGGAACTCCTGCTTTTATCTCCCTATTAGTCGAAAATAAATCTTGATGTTTCAGTAAATTCACCAGGGATTTCTTTGTGTTCAAATTCCTGATTCCCCCCCCCCCCTCCCCTTTGCTTTTGGACAAAAAAGTCCCCTTCCCAACAAACCCACCCCCAAATACCCCACCCAGGTTGTGACTGAAAACTGACTTTAATGGTCCTTATTGAAAGTATATGTAATAGGTTTGATTTTAATGCCTTTGAAACCTAATGGGGGGGGGGGGGGGGAGTGAAATCATAGAACTGGAGGTTTTCTACCCTCCACTGATCGCCATCAGAAATGTTACTCAAACACAATAATGGCTATACCTCCGGGATCCAACGTAAGGTTTTAATTTATGAAGATATTAAGTTCGGAGAAGGAATTTCCTTTTGCGCAAGCAGTGTTACCAAACAAATTTCCTGTTACCGTAAAATCAGTCTCTCAAAGTCCAGTCATTTAGCCACAGTAATCATGTAACTCTGCCTTCAATAGCAAGAAATAGACTTTTGAGCCATACTAAGATGTTTCTGCTGTGTATATTGACAGAGTAAGGTGTCAGGGATTAATGTGTCATTGCACTCTGAAGTAATTGGAACAAGGTTTGGAATCTTTTAGATTTTAACGTGATGATTTAACAAACTTTAAAGAGTATTGTTCCTGGCATATCCGTGGAGCATAAAACTGTGAAGCACCTGACTATAATCCTGACTATATTTTATTTTTCCAAACTGTTAATAAATGACTGAAAGACTTTCAAACATGTTTTGGTTTGTTTGCTTTGGATAAAATATGTTATAATAATAATAATCCTTGCATTTGATGTAGTATTGCATTGAGACGTCTCAAAGCGCTTCACAGGATACACTGGAAAGTGCAGTGACCGTCTATTTTGCGGGTGAAACGTGGCAGCCAATTGCGCCGGTGGAAACACGCCGTGCCTGTGTTTGTAGGCGAATGTTTTCTCTCTGCTGCAAACATAGAACAGTGCTAAACTGCATCCTTAAATGCACTCTTAAATCTTAATGATATTTTTATTATTGAATGAGACATATTCATGAATGAATTTGAGTTTTAAGCTCCCGTGTGCCATTGCTATCATCCGTTTCTTGAATTCATTTCACAGGAATAAAATTGAGAGCCCCCTCCTCCCCCCCACCCCCCCCACCCAAACGTACACCTTTTAATAATCGCACAATTAGAGTTATTTTCGACCACGTTATCTAGCGAAGTCAGAATTCGGGGGGTGCTGTTTTCTGGACGGGAATTGTGGCCAATTTGGGGATCAGGATTTTGAACAAAAAAAAGTTCTTCGTTATAACGCGTCTCTGTTTTTACTGTGTGGCTCTTCCCAAGATCAAACACTGTTACCGTCAGCAAGTGCGGTGGGACGCCAGCCTGACTGACGGGCACGATATATAGATGCAAATCGTTGTTATTGTTGCTGTCCTGCGGACGACTCTGTTTCTGTCTCCGCCTCGTGGCGATAAAAAGAAATGGACTTTTTCAACAGATAAGTGGAACGCTGCTGCTGCTGTACATCGTTGTTAATGATAATAAGCCTTGCATTCGACACAGCGCCTTATCACGTCTTCGAGGCGTCTCAAAGAGACGCGGACACGCTGTAAAGTGAACATCAAGTGCTCAGAGTGCACTGAATGTTGAGCTGTAAACCGTACCGGGTTCATATTCCAAAACCACATCTGACCAGACTGTGCCACTCCTGATGTGGGCGGATAAGACGTACAATTCGACGCTTAAAGTCTGTGATCTTCAGCATCGTAATAAAAACAATAATAAAAAAAAAATTGGGTCATTTTCAATCTGCGACTGTTTGTGGGACATTGCTGTGCGCAATTGGCTGCCGCGTTCGCCCACAAATATACAGTCAATTCACTTTACAGTGTGTTCTGTGAAGCGCTTTGGGACGTCCTCCCGACGTGAAAAGCGCTATATCAAATGCAAGGATTATTATTATTATTATCGTGTTTCTCTGCTGAATGAGACCTGACATATGGAGTTACAGGAAACGCAGATCCCTTGTCATACTACAAGTATTAGTATTGTCGTCGCCCACAAATAACAAACAAATCGAAAAAAAGTTTCCCTCCACATTATTTATTTAAATTGCTTTGTAGGGACGTGCGCCGTCAGAGCCCCCGAACGCGGGAACTCCCAGTGGAGGAGAAATGGGCCACAGGCAGCGCTTCAGGGAATTAACTGTGAGGAATAACTTTCCTCCACTCCAAATAATATCGTAGAAACTCTTTATTACAACCGCCCCCACCACCGCCCACCACCACCCCCCACCACCCCCACCACCACCGCCCGCCTGCCCCCCACCCCCCCCGCCCACCTGCTCCCCCACCACCACCCGCCACCACCGCCCGCCTGCCCTCCCACCACCACCCCCACCACCACCGCCCGCCTGCCCCCCCACCCTAACCCCCACCACCGCCCGCCTGCCCTCCCCCCACCACCACCGCCCCCCACCACCACCACCGCCCGCCACCACCGCCCGCCTCCCCCACCACCGCCCGCCCCCCACCACCACCGCCCGCCGCCCCCGCCACCACCGCCCCCCCACCTAACCCCCACCCCCCACCACCGCCCGCCTGCCCCCCCACCCCGCCTGCCCCCCACCCTAACAACCGCCCACCACCACCGCCCGCCTGCCCTCCCCCCCCCCCCCACCGCCCGCCGCCCTCCCACCCCCCCACCACCACTGCCCGCCTGCCCTCCCACCCCCCCCAACCCCCCCATCTCTTGTCCCCTCTTCTCTCCCCCCCCCCCCTCTCTCTGCTCCTCACTCACCGGGAGAGGGCGGGGCTGACAGTGGGAGGGGCGGGGACTGCTCAGAGTGTGACCACCTGACCTGCTGATGACGTAGGCTCCCTCTATTGGTTGCCGGGACGGCGCAGCATCAGCCCACCGGCTGCTCCAATCAGCGACGGCCTCGCCGTATGAGTCGATTTTTTTTCCGCGGTCCCGCGGCCGATGACGCCAGCGAGTCCCGCCTTCGGTCACCGCCGATTGGTCTGCGTCGGGAGGGGGGGGGCCTGCGGGCAGGTGATTGGCCGCGCGCCACCGTCAATCAGGAGCGGGCGCCACGGTAACCCGTGGCGTGTGAGGGAGGGCCAAGTGGGAGTAGGGGTGGGGCTTCAGCTCGCGCCGCGTCCGATGACGTCGGAGGGCTGGCCAGGGGCGAGTCCCGCCTTCGGACCCCGCCCCGGCGGCGTGCGGATTGGTCGGCGCCGGTCGCGGCGAGCGGGGGATTGGCTGAGCGGGGCCGTCCATCAGGAGTGGTTGGCGTGGTAACGGGCAGCGGAGGGGGGGGGGCGGGAGAGGGGTGTGCGTGCGCTCGCGATGAGGTGCTGCGCGAGGTGAGACCGTTGGTCACCGCGAGCGGCTCGAGCGGCATCGACTGGCGGGAGCGTGAGGTGAAGGGCAGTTCGAGCGGAGGCGTCAGGTGGCTTGAGAGCTCGCGACCCCCCCCCCACCCCCTCACCCCACCCCGGGCCCATGGAGAGCAACAGCAGCGTCGTGCTGGCCTCCGCCAGGCTGGCCGTGCACTACGTGGACTCGCTGCTGCCCGGCAACCCGCTGCAGGAGCCCCTCAGGGGCGCCTGGAACCTCATGCTGGAGCGCTTCACCAAGTTCCAGATCGCCACCTGGGGCTCGCTGCTCGTCCACCAGCTCGTCTACTTCAGCTTCTGCCTCCCCGGCTTCGTCTTCCAGTTCATCCCGGCCGTGCAGAAGTACAAGATCCAATCGGTAAGCGGGTGACTGACACCCCCCCCTCCCCGCTCCCACCCTCCTCACCTCCCCCTCCTCACCTCACCCCCAGCCCGAGGGACGGTGCGGTATCATTGGGGTTGGCACCTGTCACCACTTCCCCTCCCTCCCTCCCTCTGTTGCCTGTCACACCCCCTCCCCGCACACACACACCCTGTGCCTGTCACCTCTCTGTTGCCTGTCGCCCTCCCCACACCCTGTGCCTGTCACCTTCCCCCCCCACACCCTGTGCCTGTCACCCTCCCCCCCCACACCCTGTGCCTGTCACCCTCCCCCCCCACACCCTGTGCCTGTCACCCTGCCCCCCCACACCCTGTTGCCCGTCACCCTCCCCCCCACACCCTGTGCCTGTCACCCTCCCCCCCCACACCCTGTGCCTGTCACCCTCCCCCCCCACACCTTGTTGCCTGTCACCCTCCCCCCCCACACCCTGTGCCTGTCACCCTCCCCCCCCACACCCTGTGCCTGTCACCCTCCCCCCCACACCCTGTGCCTGTCACCCTCCCCCCCACACCCTGTGCCTGTCACCCTCCCCCCCCACACCCTGTGCCTGTCACCCTCCCCCCCCCACACCTTGTTGCCTGTCACCCTCCCCCCCCCACACCCTGTGCCTGTCACCCTCCCCCCCACACCCTGTGCCTGTCACCCTCCCCCCCACACCCTGTGCCTGTCACCCTCCCCCCCACACCCTGTGCCTGTCACCCTCCCCCCACACCCTGTGCCTGTCACCCTCCCCCCCACACCCTGTGCCTGTCACCCTCCCCCCCACACCCTGTGCCTGTCACCCTCCCCCCCACACCCTGTGCCTGTCACCCTCCCCCCCCACACCCTGTGCCTGTCACCCTCCTTGTGGCTTGTGGCTATTTGCTGTACATAAATCGTCTACCGGCAAAATACGCAGTCACTAGACTTAGCAGTAAGATGTTGTCAAGTGCCTTGAGGCGTCTCGATGATGTGATAAGTGTTATGTTGGATGCAAAGATTATTATGCAGGTTATCACAGAAGGGAAACAATTATTGGACCTTCTAACGTGATACTAATTTGTTTTGGCACCTCATCCCATTGAAGTGTCTCAAAGCGCTTCACTGTAATTACTCTTAAATATAGCGACTGTGCACAAATAGCCGCAAAGTTAACGGCAAAATAGTTTTTTAATTTTCCAAATATGTGCACGTCAGTATTGTAGGGGGCACATGGATTAGCCTGACGTGGTCGGGCAAAAAGTGCCGCAGCTGCTTAAACTGCTTGTATTTTTATGGTTAATTGGCTGCATAGATTTGTGAGATGTGGTGTAGTAATAATAATCCTTGCATTTTATATAGCACCTCATCATCTTGTCTCAAAGTCTCAAAGTGCTCCTGTAAAGTAGATTGACTGAGGGTGAAGTTATTATTGTGTAACCTCGCATGATAGTAGCTGAGATACTCTTGCAAGATCTTTGCTGCGGTGGAGGGCTTCTAATTAATTGTGCAGTGTTACATAAGAACCGTCCACAACCCACCTTCACCCAGAATAACATGTAAAAAGTTCTGATCAGGGGTGTCTCGTGGACTGAGTTGGTGACTGTTCTGTTTTCTGGTGGGGCTCAGTGACGAGTTATCCGGGGAGGCGAGTTGTAGGCTTATGTATAAAATATACAGTCAATTCACTTTACAGTATATTCTGTGAAGCGCTTTGAGACATCTCAAATACGTGATAAGGCGCTACATCAAATACAAGGATCATTATTATTTTTACTATAAATAAATAAGGACGGCCAGGATATTGACAGCACGATAACTTAAGTGGTAGTGACAAGAGAAGCCAGGGTTGAGTTATCGGGAGTTTATTTTGTAGGCAACCGTGGCAGCCATTTTGTGCATAGCAATGTCTCCCAAATAGCCACAAAGTGAATGCCCAATGTATGAAGACAATTGTTGGCCAGGACACCAAGAGAATTTCCTATGTCTTTAAACTAGTGTAAAGGATTCTTTAATGTCCACCTGAATAGACGGGCGGAGCGTCAGTTTAACATCTGAACAAAGGATGGCACCTCCGATAATGCAGCACACCCTCAGAACTGAACCCAAATTAGCTTAGACTATGAGCTCATGTCCTGATGTGGGTCTTGATTCCACAAACTTTGATTCAGAGCCAAAAGTGCTGCCAACTGACCCAAACTGACACCTAATATTTGCTTTGGAGTCACCTGACAAGCTGCATTTTTGTTAGGACATTGATTGTGTTGAGAGAATGAGCGAGTGCAGTCAACCCGAGTTGGGCCAGAAATTTCTGAGGGGGTGTACTGTTCTTGGGTGTGCCAGTAACTAAATATTACTCACTTTTTTAAGTAAAAGTTTATTGGTCAAAGAATAATTTTACATACTGCAATTTCAAGTCAGGAGAAAATGTAGTGACTGTGTATTTTTTAGGTAAACGTGGCAGGTAATTCGCACACAGCAGTGCTCCACAAACAGCCATGAAGTGAACGAAGGAAGGGAAAGGAATACGGATGTGAATAGAAAAAACTACATGTTGGAAATTCTAAATGAAACTGGAAAATGTTGGCAGTGTAGAACAGGTGAATGCGAGAAAGAGGTGACATTTTTAGGAATGACTTGCACTGAACTCTGAGATGCTATCCCGAGTGAAGGTTGATATATAATTGCAAGTTGTTGTTGTTGATGAATTGAACAGCATGGAAAAGTCTCTTTCTAGGGCAGAGGGAAGTAGGACCACATTTCTTTTTAATAATTGCATGCCTGCAAAACACACAGTCATTGCACCTTACAGTGAATTGCATGAAGCGATTTGAGCCACACCCTTCTGACGTGAAAATCGCTATATCAAATGGAAGAATTATTTTATTTTAAATCAATTTAAAACATTTAAATGATTAAATATATACACAAAGAGATATCTGATAATACAGATGAACCCACTCCCAAGCAACCTCCCGACCCACAAATTAGCATAGTTAGTGTGTATTGTAAGGGGGTATTTTTCTTTAAAATCTGTTAAAATTATGACTTACCAATAGCTCGGTGAATTGAGGGAGAGATTAATTCACTCCAGGAATGAAATCAAGCCTTTCTACCTATGAATTACCTCCAACAACAGTTGGAATAATAATCATCCTTACATTTGATATAGAGCCTTTCACAATAGGAGGACATCCCAAAGCGCTTCACAGGATATACTGTAAAGTGCAGTGACTGTTTTTTGGGAGGATGAACAAGTAGTTACTTGGATGATCTGTTTGTACAGAGACAGTCTTTCTACACTTTTGCCATCTTCTGTGTGCAGGACAAGCCGGAGACGATCGAAAAACAGTGGAAATGCTTCAAGGTGCTGCTGTTCAACCACTTCTTCATCCAGCTGCCCCTGATCTGCGGCACCTACTATTTCACAGAGTTCTTTAACATTCCGTACGACTGGGACAGTATGCCACGATGGTAAGGTGCTTCCTTACTGGAAGGGTTTCCTGATCTTTGCAAAAGCACGACTTCATTGTTCATAACATGCGCTTGCAAATTCAAAACGCTAAGCACATGTTAAGCTAAATGCATTTTGGATCTTTTCGTGAATCAAACCTTGTGTGTCATTGAAATAAAGTAATGATTTAGGCACTTTGAATGGGTTCCTGTTCTGGTTCAGAATACCGTTACTATTATGAATGTAGCATGAATTTTTCACCTGTTTATACAGGCAGATCATTGCCGCACAATGTCTGGGATGTGCTGTGGTTGAGGATACGTGGCACTACTTTCTACACAGGCTGTTGCACCATAAGAGAATCTACAAATACATTCACAAAGTTCACCATGAGTTTACGGTAAGGCATTGATTACAATAATAATAATCCTTGCAATTGTTATTGAGACGTCAGGATGTAAAGTATAATGACTGCATTTTGTAGGCAATTGTAACAGTAAGTAGCATATTACTGCTGCAATGTGAAGGTTTTGCTGACTTGATTTGTTTCTGTATATATTGTACAGTATACTAGTGCTCACCTTTAGGTGAGCTGCTCCTAACACTGTTTATTTCCCTTTGCCTCGCTGCTGTTAGATTTCTCCCATCTTCTGTGTTGTCTAGGCCCCGTTCAGCATGCAGGCTGAATATGCCCACCCAGCAGAGACCCTGATCCTTGGGATGGGATTTTTCATTGGCATCATGCTTTTCTGCAACCATGTAATCCTTCTGTGGGCTTGGGTGACCTTTCGTCTACTGGAGACAATAGATGTCCACAGGTAAAGGCAGCACTAAAAGCAACTGCATGATCTGATCGTTCCAGACATGAGAGAGAAACCTGCTTAGCTCTTTGTGTAAATTGCCTTGTAATCACGGGCAATCTAAGAAGGTTTCCAAGTTTCCTTTTTTCATTCTGATTGAAGTGGGACTGGCTATTCAGGCTATTGCACCATGCTAAAATAAATACAGTGGAAATCCTTTATAAGCATTTTGTTCCAGATCAAAAAAGATTAGTTTGAATGAGGAAGGCCTCTGATTGCATCCTTCCAGAACACCCACACTACCGCCCTCCCATCTCAGCATGAAGCTGTTTTCAAATGAATCCAGCATCCAGGCTCAACCACTTGCCTGGTAACCTGTTCAGTTGTTAACTACCCTTGGGTTAAGACAGGATACCTGGGGTGTATCCTAAAATTACCTTTTGCAACTCTAAATCTAAGTCCACTTAGTGAATCTGAATGTAATAGTTTGGATTTGTTTCTAATGGGAAGGAGGCAGGAACCCAGTCACTGCACATGTGTACAGCCGGGAGGATCATTTCCTCATGCGGTCAGTGCCACACTCAAAATGGTCGACAACCGGGTCATTTTGGCCGTTGAGTTTCACTGCAAGAGCTGCCAGAGCAGGAAGCGAGCTGCGCACTTACAGGAAATGACGTGAAACCTGAGATTCTTTGTGCTCTTTACTCTCAGTGGTTACGACATCCCCTTGAATCCTCTGCATCTGATTCCATTCTACGGTGGCGCCCGTTTCCACGACTTCCATCACATGAACTTCATTGGAAACTACTCATCCACCTTCACTTGGTGGGACAAGCTGTTCGGAACCGACTCACAGTACCGTGTATATCACGATAAAATGAAGGAGACAGAAGTGAAGAAGAGCAAATAGATCAACAGCACTGATCAGATTAAGCCGAGAAAACTTTACACTGAACTCTTCTTAAAAATAATAAAGAAATTCAGAAATGTAATGAACAGCAGAATTGTTTCACCAACTGCAGCTCTTAATGATTCCCGCTTAGGGTTTACTTGGGCTACAGTCGTTTAAAGGAGATCAATTCTAAACACCATTGAAAAGCAAACGAGTCTGAGAGAATGAAACACTGCTGCTGTACACCACCTGTGTAAATAAGATTTAATAATTTGTTTTAATAATCTGCATATTGTATTTACTGTATCAAATGTACACACAATTGCTCATTTGCTTTTAAATTGTAATAATTTAAAAAATACTCCTGAGGTCTTCTTTGTTGTCAAAGGCGCATTTTATGCCAAATATTTGCTTTGTGCTTTTTTTCTTTTCTTTGGGTCATGTACTTCCACAATGTGTTGCAAAAATCAATGAATTTGCCAGGATGCCTCCTAACATGTTCTTATGCACTGTAATATACAAATAAGAGCTGTCTTAGGAGAATAAACGAGTGGCTTCAAAAGATAGTGTTTTATCTCAAATGTCCAAAGGATTATATCTTGGTTACCATTCTAAAACCCCAGAATAGTATTTAATTTAGCCCAATAACATTTCCAGTCCTGCCTTTGGCTAGAATCATTTACCAGCACTTTACCTGCACTGTTAATCAGAATCACTGAGGATAAAAATTGACAGGATATTGGATTGTTAAAGGAATTATAGGTCTCACACTTTCCAGGAATTCAATGGAATTGTCTCACAGACGGTTGTGTCTGTCAGTCTGTCTTAGCTCTGCTTTACTTATCACAGGGTGAAATAACCTGTTAAGGTTCGCCCAGTGTTAAACCAAGCGTGGAACCACTTTTGCAAAGTGGATGAGATTTGGGAGAGTTGCAAATTTCTCATTTTCTTCACAGTTAAACTGTCCTGGATAACTCCAACCACAGCAGGAAGCTTATACAGGGAAGAAGTGAGGAATCCTGGCCCACGTGTAGAGTGGCACCACGTTGATCGTGAGTTCTTGCTCCGCGTGTGAAGATTCCCCAACAAAAGTGATTTTTCTTTCAGCTGAAGAAATTACACAATACAAAATGACATTTGTATAGCGCCTTTCACGTCGGGAGGATGTCCCAAGGCGCCGGGCAGTCAGGGAAACAAAGAATGGATTAAAATCTACGTTAAGCATCAATGAAAAAAATTTACCGTTTCGAGGTTGAATGCAGTAGCATTGGTGGCACAGCAGATGTAATCTTAAAATAGCCGCGGGGAGTTTTCACATCAATCTGAGACCCGCTGCTAGTGTTCTCTATGCATCCTACTGTTCTCTGTGATTCCATTCGAGGGCTAACTGACAGCAGTAAAGTCTATTACAGGTGCCACCGTTTCCTGAGTTATCTGCATGTCACCAAAAGATTCACTCGTGAATTCTTGCTGATCATCAGCCATCCATACCTACCACTTATTATTGCTGCCGTCTGTACTTGTCTCGGCATTCTTTGGTTGATAATTCTGTCACATGTTCTTACTCTTATGATTAAAGGAAACTGAAAACTTGCTGGACTCCTCTGTGCATCTCGTCTTCAAAAAAAAACACAAAACACCTTAGTTGGATTATTGGGTGAAGGAAACGCATTATTTTTGAAAGTTCAGGAAAGTGAAGTCGTTCAGGGCAGTAATGTTTTGCTTTAGCAGTGAGCTTTGTCCTCCCTTTGCCACTGCCATCATTTGAAAGGTATTTTGGTTTGGGTAATACATCAGTGTCGTAAACCAGAGTGATAAAAACATGGGCTCAAAGGAGCTCATATAAAATTGATTACAGGATAATTAACTGGCAGGACTGCTTGTGCAAATTACCTCATCGACTAATTAAAGAATAAATCTATTGAAAAGATATGTAAGATGATTTAGAGCCACCTCAAGCATCAATAGATTAATACCAACTCTTTAAATATTCAAATCATCTATCTCCCTACGCCAGTGGCAACCAACAAAGTAAATTTTCTTGATTGAATATCTCTATGGCATAATCACGAAAAAATGAAAACACATTACTGATCGAACATGGCGTTACCTCGACCCGTGCAAATGTTTCTTTGACCCACCACAAGGGCCTAAGCCATTTAATTAACAAACTTCTGCCTATTCAGGGATGAAAAAAAGATGACAGATCCATAACATTGTTGGAAAAGAGAAGGAGGTTTCTCCTGGTATCCTGGCCAACTGCACCCCAGATAAAATTCGTCAAATTGGTTGCTACGTTTGCCAACAGAAAGACACATCCACTACGCTTTTTGCTTACAATTGCGCAGTCACCGCATTTCACGGTATATGCTGTGAAGCGCTTTTGAGACGTCCTTCCGACATGAAAGGCGCTGTATCAAACGTAAGGATTAAGATTTCAAACTCAGCTTGGAGTAAAGTTTGCACCAAGTTCCGGATGTGTAAACACACCCAGACCTCGACTGTCAGACCAGACCCTATGATTTATAAAATCTGCATAGAATTAAACTTTCAATAAGAGCAGCAGAACATCATAACACAGAACATGGAACTAAGCAACGTAAAAGCATTTGACCTGTTGAACCCACTCTTTTTGCAATGGGTCAGCGTGCCCTTATACTAAATAGAAATACTCAGAGATTCATTGAATGGAACAGAAGCAGGTAACCCGCAGTCAACAAAATGTAACTTCAGCTCTTTTCCACTTGGCGGCAGAGTGAACTAACATCTCCCTAATTTCTGACAACCTCGTTCCCAGATATCAGGCTCCGTAGATAATGTCAAACAGAGAACCGCCGAGACATGTGCGACAAAGTCACGGAAATAAAGGGTAAAAATAAGCCCCAATTGATATAACAGCTTATCACATTATCAAAACATTTCAAAGCGCTTCACAGTATTTTATTGAGGATCGTCGGCCTAGATAAAGGGAAAAACCTCCATGGGATATTGAACAGGGAGATGGGATCAGGTCTTGTCGAAAGAACGGTTTAATGTCTTATCCAAAGGATGGCACCTCTAACAAGGCCCTCACCCACAGCAATGGCATCGCAGCATCAATTACAAATTTAAAGTTTTAACTAATAGTTCAATTCCAGGCAGAGGGAGAAACCTTGGGCAAGTTTCCTTACTCCGCACAGAGCCTAATAATAATCCCTCCAAAACAAAACAATAATAAATTGGTCATTTTCAATCCATGACTGTCTGTGGGACGCTGCTGTGTGCAATTGGCTGCCGCGTTCGCCCACAAATATACAGTCAATTCACTTCACAGTGTATTCTGTGAAGCGCTTTGGGACGTCGAGAAGACGTGAAAAGCGCTATATCAAATGCGAGGATTATTATTATTATTAATAGACATTGTTTGGACATAGTAAGAACTGGCCGACTGATGAAAGAATCTCACACCGTTTCACAAACGGTTCAACGGTTAGTTCCTTTCCTACCAGCTCACCTGGTGTTGTCTGCCTCAGTCAACAGACTAACCTGCCTGTTCAGTGAGCCGATGAACCTCTCCTGACAGAACACATTTCAACAAATCGCTCAGCAGAAACAATGATATTCACCTCCTGACCTCAGTTCCCACTGACGCAGAAGAATCGCTAAGTTTAATAAAATAACATTTAATTATTTCAGCACCGAGAGCAAGGATGCAATCATGGATGAAAAACACTTACTACTTTCGTGCATTTCGAGAGCAATTTTGCCCCTTCCAACAATATGACAAAGTGTAACCACAAGCTCGGATCGCTATGTTATCTGATGGATTTTTGGTTCACAAACTGCATTTTTCATAGAGGCTGCACACCTCTCTATTTCTGTGCTTCTGGTGGGTCAACAAAGGGATCCAGTTTTCTAACTGTTGATCATTTTAATGCGCCCGTTTAATATTACTGCACAGATAAAAAGCGAACCTATAAACTGCATTTACTCAATTTTGTTTGTCCCTATCCACAAGAAAGTTTAGTACATCTCTAACGACGACAGCATACGTTATACATTTGAATTGCACCTTTCACATTGGGAGGTCGTCTCAAAGTGCTTCACATAACTGAGTGGGAGTCGAAGTTGGATGGAGCTGCGAAAGGAGATGACTAAAAGCTTGATTGAAAAAAAGTAATTTTGTGGGCAAAAAAGCAGCAGAATCGTGCACAGCGATGTCCCACAAACAGTTGAGTGACCAGATTTTTTTTTGAAGAGTTATTAGCGCCAGAAAGCGATCCACCAATTAACTAACAACTGGGTTCCTACTTGCTGCGAGGTAAAAAGGTGTGTGGAGAAAGGAAACGTGACTAAGGTTTTGCTCTGCTCAGGAATTGAACCCAGGTCCTCTCTCTTGCCGGGTGAGCGCGCTAACCACTACGCTACAGGAGGATAAGCTGATACATTAGTTAGCGTATTCTTGTCATTCGGGTAAATAAGAATTCGGTCCTTGGCACAGTCCTTCAAAAATCTTTGCCCTCTATGTTTCATGCACTTTGTTCACAGCAAATTTCGAATCAATCCGTGCTTCAAATGTGCCTCACGGAATTTGTGAAACCAATCAGGTAAATTTTAGAAATAATTTGCTTCCGAATCATCGTGTCACCTTAGCATCTCTATTCCTCATTGAAAATCATGTCAGAGGAAACCCTTTGATGGTAGAACAAGTCTGAAGGACTGCAATCAGACTAATTAAACCTAAAGCGTGCATTGGGGTAACTGCAATTATATATAACTAACTATGGATTCCTGTAGCGTATTGGTTAGAGCCCTCACCTTGCAAGCGAGAGGACCCGGGTTCGATTCCCGGGCAGGGCAACATTATGTGCAGAGTTTTATCGACGCAGTTAAAAAGAAGAACCTTCGGAAAGTATTTTTTATGATTTCAAGATAAGGCATTAAATTAACTCCTGTGGAGCTGTTTTCTGACCTTGTCATAACTAATATCTGCGTTGAGATTGAGACACTTCACTCAGACAGAGGTCTGGTAGCAAGTTTATAAAGATACACGTAGACACGTACAGCGAGCATGCCAGCATATCTGAGCAGTGTACGAGCAGAGTAGGTAAACCTGGTATAAAAACTCAGATCTGGGCTTCACGTCGACAGAATTGCCGAACGCATTTCCTAAGTGACTTCCAGTGTGTCATTTGCTGATAAGCATTACTGCATCGATGTTCAGGCCGGAGATGAAGGACACGGAGGCATCCCATGAGACAACCGGATGAAGCTGACTGCATGACCCGGCTCCTTGTATTCGGAGCTGGCTTTCCGCTAATGAGTTCTCACAGCAAATGATTGCCTTGCAGGATTTTGTTTCAAAACAGGAAGATTTCCTGCTGTGTTGCAACACGACCAACAGAGAGCAGCAAAGCTTGAAGCGTTTGAACTCAGTTCCGCTCCCCTTCCTTACCTGAAGTGTATTAAGACAGAAACGACCTGCATTTTTCGGAGCACTTCGTCACGTCAGGACGACGCAAAGAGCTTTTCACCCACAAAACACACGGTCACTACACTTTACGGTGCATCCTGCGAAGCGCTTTGAGACGTCTCGAAGGCGTGATAAGGCGCTGTATCAAACCCAAGGATTATTATTATTATTATAGTAATTACTGTCCAGTGTAGCAAGTCCTTTTGTAAACAAACAATATTTCCTCGAGAAAATGAAACTCGTCTGAGAATTATATTTGGATATCAGCTATATTTATATACATATATTGTAATCAAATGTCACATTCATTTTATTATGTGATAACCCTTAGCAATTTTACTGAGCATTTGTCAGCTTAAAATGATCAAAAAGACTACATCGGGATGAAGAATTCTAATAGCTTCAAAAGAGGTGTACAGAAATGCCTTTAGACATCATGGAGCAAACGTGAAAAATGATGGATTCAAGTTAATAATTAAATTTATTAGAGATGACAGCGAGCCAACAGGCAGTGGAGATTGTGGACTGACAAACTTGTTCTAGCTGTTTCCTAGATCTTTTCTATTCCCAGCACAAAATATTCAATAAAATAACTGCATTTAAAAATACCCCCCTACGCGGTACGTGTACATATCATCCTCTTTCACCACTCCCTCATCCTCGCACAGTATTTGAAAAATAAAAAATAATAATAATAATAATTTGGTCACTTCAATCCACGACTGTGTGTGTGAGACACACTGTGCACAACTAGCTGCTGCATTTCGCTCACAACACATACAGTCACTGCACTTGACTTTATATCCTGTGAAGCGCTTTGAGACATCTCAAAGACGTAATAATGCGCTATACTAAATGCCAGGATTATTATTATTGTCATGTAAGAATCGTATTTATGACTTAGCTTGCAGTAATTGTAGATCATTGCTTTCAACTTGAAAATAGGCTGTTTACAGTGTGGTTCATCCGATCTCATGGATACAAACCCCCTGGATATTGCAGTGGACTTCAGGGAAAGATCAAAGCACCAGCAGAAGGATCAGTTTATCTCATTTTAATGCAACAGAGATGGGATTACTGTCTTTTGATGTCACACTGTTCAGTTATATTACTGATGCCAAGGCAATAGCAACTTGCTGCA